TCCATACGGTCACGCGAACCCGGAGAAAGAAGAATTTTGTCTCTGGTCTGTTTAATGATAATGGGGAATGGGTTACGGAGGAGCAAGGGAAGGCGGAGGTGGCGGTTAATTTCTATCAGCATCTCTTTACCTCGGAATCCCAAATTCATAATATGCGGGAACGGGTGGCTGACCTCCCTATTGCGTCTAATGTAACGCCCGAAATGAATGAGTTCCTTACTACGGAGGTCGGTCGGGATGAGATCCTTAAGACGATCTTTGCCATGGGCTCTAAGCAGGCGCCAGGTTCGGATGGTTTCACTTGAAAGTTCTTCAAGGCCTACTGGGAAATTGTTGGGGAATCGGTTGTGGCTGCTGTTAGCTCCTTCTTTGCTACAAGTAGGATGCTCCGGAGCTTTAACCACACCTGGTTAACCTTAATCCCTAAAGTGGATCATGTAGAGTCCATGCGCCAGCTTCGACCCATCAGCTTGTGTCAATTCATCTATAAGGTGATCACGAAGATCATGGCAGAACGTCTAGCGAAGGTCTTGCCTCTCATTGTCTCGGACGGGCAAAATGCCTTCATTAGAGAAAGGCAGATTGTGGACAATATCCTAATTGGCCATGAGTTAATGCATTACTTGAAAATCAAAACTCAGGAAAAGAAGGGATATATGGCTCTAAAGGTTGATATGGAAAAGGCCTATGATAGAGTTGAGTGGTCCTTTCTTCTTGCGGTTTTGGAGAAAATGGGTTTTAACTCGGTTTGGCGTGGTTGGATTCAGGAGTGTTTAAAATCTGCTACGTTTTCGGTGCTAATGAATGGTTCTCCTTCTGGTTTCTTTGCGTCCTCTCGAGGGCTCCGGCAGGGGGATCCCCTCTCTCCTCTTCTCTTTGTGCTTTGCACGGAGGGTTTTGCTGCCCTCCTTCGTAAAGCTATATCTGATAAGAAGCTGGAGGGGGTGAAGGTCGCCCCACGGGCTTCTCGTATTTCTCATCTGTTCTTTGCTGATGATTCTTACTTGTTTCTCCGTGGTTCACTCCAGGAGTGTGAGAATCTGATTGAGGTTCTGAATGAGTATGAGGAGCTTAGTGGCCAGAGGGTGAACCTGGAGAAATCGGCGGTGTGCTTCAGTAAGAATGTCTCTTTACCGGACCAGGAGTTCTTGGCGGCAATCCTAGGAGTAGGGGTTGTAGGGGTTCAGGACAAATATCTTGGCTTACCCACCTTGATTGCTCGCTCAAAGACGGCTACCTTTCGATACCTGAAAGACAAGCTCTTGGAACGTTTGCAGGGGTGGAAAAGAAGGACTTTGTCCTGGGCAGCTAAGGAAACTCTGATTAAGTCTGTTGCCTTAGCTCTTCCACTCCATGTGATGCCTTGCTTTCGGTTGCCGTTATCGCTTTGTCGCCTCTTGGACAAACATGTGGCCAGATTTTGGTGGGGGGTGGAAAGTGGACGTTCGAAGATCCGGTGGGTCTCTTGGAGAAATTTATGTAAGAGCAAGCATGAGGGGGGAATGGGTTTTCGCCGGTTTGAACAATTTAACCAAGCTTTGTTGGCGAAGATAGGATGGCGAATCCTTAACGAACCACAGTCCCTCTTAGCTCAGGTTTATAAAGGGAAGTATTTCCCGAATGGCTCCTTTCTCTCTGCTACTGCGCGGTCCCGTCCTTCCTGGGGATGGCAAAGTGTTCTCTTTGGTCGGGAGTTATTGAACAAAGGCTTGAGATGGCAGATTGGGAATGGGGAGACGGCTTCGTTACTAAACTCAAATTGGATCCCGACCCAACTTCCTTCTCATCCTGTGTATAACCCTCGGGTTCTGCCAGATGGCGGAGATTTGACGGTCTCGGCTGTTCTCTGTCCTGGGGAAGGGCGCTGGTGCGATGATAAGCTGAGTCAGTGGTTCGACCCACATACCTGCCTGGCGATTAAAGCGATGCCCCTGCCGCGGCAGAATATTGAGGATCGGTTAATTTGGTATGGTTCAGAGGATGGAATTTTTACTGTCAAATCAGCTTATCATTTGGCGGTCTCTTTGGATCAGCAGAAGGGAAGATGGCGGGCGCAGGTTAGTTGGATGGATAAGCGAAGTTGGATCCGGGTGTGGGAAGCGAATATTCCGCCAAAGCTGAAGGTATTTGCCTGGCAAATCCTCAATAGAATTTTACCTACGACGGAGGCTCTTATTGAAAAGGACATGGAAGTGCTGCCCCGTTGTCCGTTCTGCTGGGCTCCTAAGGAGACCATGGAACATCTTTTCCTTGATTGTCCGGTGGCTAGGGCTCTGTGGTTGCAGGGTGGTTTAGACTCGCTTGGGGAGGGTTTGCCTCGCCATACTTTCCCCCTTTTCCTCAAGAGTTTGCTAGCTATCTTACATCAACCTTCGCAGTATATGGCGGTAATTGCTCTCTTATGGCGAATTTGGAAGTCCCGCAATTGGGTGGTCTTTGAAGGGAAGCAATTCACCATTCCGGCTTTATTGAGGCAGTATAACCAACAATTAGGGGAGTGGCTAGGCCTGTCTAGGGACCCGCAGGTTCCCTCTGTGCGTCCCCCTAACCTGTCTACGAGGGGTGTAAGTGGTCCTGGGGGTCCTGTGTGTCGCTGGGATGGGGCAGTTCGACGGGGGTCGCACTCTGCTGGGAGTATGGTTCTGCTCAATGAGGGTGGTTCGCTTCTCTGGGCGGCGGGGGTGCAGTTTCCTCATCTGGATGATCCAATGGTGGCTGAGCTCCTTACACTCAGGGAAGCTGTCCGGTGGTGTGTAGAGCATGGGCTTTTGGACATGCGTTTCGAAGGGGATGCCAAGGTGTTCATTGAGAAGATCGAGAAGGCTGAAGTGCGTGATAGACGGGCTGTGATTATTTTGGAGGAAATGGTTCAAATCTTTAAGGATAATCCGGGATTTAGTGTGCGATTTATAGGTCGTGATGGCAATAGGGTAGCTCATTTGGTAGCTAGACATGCCCTTTCTTTGTCCCCGACTATGTGTCGTTATTTTGATTTCCAGACCTGGCTGGCTTCCAGGGTGTAACTGTCGATTTGCTTTCTATTAATATATGATATCTTTTGTAAAAAAAAAAAAAAACTCTCCTTAATTAGCGTCACTAGCGAATTCACCAGGACTACCCAATTTCTCTTTGGATGATCGAAAATCGTTGATGCCGCTGGACTAAATCCATGAATGGATCGTCTTCCTATTCAAACAATTTAGAGAATCATGAATACTTGGGAGTTGGGACTGCCAAAATCGTAGGCAGAAACTCTTTGACACTTTAGACAACATGATGGAGGGGTGGTGTGATACCAGAGAATGGATCTTGAAGATGTAGCAAATTTGATTTTGAGCACATCCCCAAGAAAGCTAATGAGGTGGAGGAATTAATTTTTTTTTACCCTGTTTATCCTCTCTTCGTGGGATGTTTCAACTATTTATTACATGTACAAAAGAGAACATTGTTTTTATACAAAGTCCAAAATATGCATTACACTTCTCATACATACCTTGCTTTCACCACCATGTACTCTGAAAATTTGACGAGTTGGTTTCCCTAAATCGGCTATTTCCACCACAATAATGTTTTAAATTATCAAGTTTCTCATAATGACCCCACATTATGTACTCTCTAATCCAAGGTTTTTGTCAAAGTGATTAAGTTGCTTATGGACGAGACGAGACGAGCACATTGCTCATATGATTTATCTTCTTCGATTTGCACTGTGGATTCCGGTCGAGTTTGTACTTGACGTTTGAATCGTCTTACATATTGGGTGGTATAGGCAAGCTAGGGAGGGTTCTGTACCAGTAGATTGGGTTTTAATTATCATCGCACCATTTCTCTAATGTAATCCTAATTTTCCCGATTTCACTTAGACTAGAAGGTCGTTTTCTGTAAAAAAAAAAACAAAAAAAAAAAGCTCATGAGTCATGACACCACTATGTGGAATGTCAGTTTTGCTCTTCGAATCAAACTTCTCTTTTAGGGCTGGTTTCATCATTTTGTGTAACTTGGTACCTTAGATGAATTTCATATTACGAAGTTGTCGCATCACATTTCATTTATAATCTTTCTTTTCTTTATTTCTCTCGTACAATAACTTAAAAGAATTCTAGATTTAGGATCAACTTATGATAAATGTACAATAAGTTAGCATCTAAAAGTATATTTTAAAGACCAGTGGCTTCAAATTGTGGGCACGGACAACAATGTTTGATTTCGTTACACTAGACGGGTAATGTGTGTGCCACATAGTTTGAAGAAAGCACATGCACGAGATTGAATTTTAAGTATACCGTGAATGCAATTTCACGTTTTGATTAATTTTATTGGCTTGTCATATTTCATTATCTATAAAAATTAGCTGTATCAAGAGAATACCACAATCAGGTGTTTTCCACATTGAGATCATATTAAGATCCACATTTTTATACTCAATTTTCCAATCCAATCCCAATGGTGAAGAACTCAAATTTATATTTTGATCTCTAATAACATCTATCTCAACTTAAAACGAAATATCTTTTCACATTAATTGACCGATAAATCTTTTTACAACCCGCTTCAAAGTGCATACCAATTATCTAGTTTAAATATTTAGTGGCAATTGATATGTAAATAATCCACCCCTAACTAAATTGATTTCCTCCCCATATGAAGTGCATCCTGCCGTATCAATAACCCATGAACTATGTTTATAACCCAATAGTGTGTTCGCCTAATAACATATAGCTTCCATTAAGTCATATCATACTTAATCCATGTTCGGTGTACTCATCTAAATTGTACGAATAGTGTTTCTACCTAACTATCACAAATTCTTGTGATGCAAAACCTAAACACTTTTTTTTTTCGGTAATTAAAACCTAAAAACTTTTTAACGTTACGGTCGGAAGTAAAAATCGGGATGTTGTAATAAAATTAAATAATTAACTATCGAGAACTACGCACGTAATCCGCTCTTTAACTATATTCTTGAAATAACATCTTATTGATCGTTTTCTTATTTTGCCTTTTGTTTTGTTTTTGTTTTTGTTTATGAAAAGAGAACCACAAAAATATTATTTGTTCCTTGTTTCGATTAAACAAATTCACGGCTTATCGGTAATAACAACCTACGCCTTATGACGAGGACACATCCAACTTCTCCAAAACTTACTTGAAGTTCGCCATAAATCTATCGACCTATATATATGCCATGACATTCTCCTCTCCCTGCCACAATCAAGCAGTAAAAGAAATCAATCAACCATCCACATTCTTTGCTGCCAAACAACAACAAAAATGGGATTCTCCATTGCACCTTCTTTGATCATTCCACAGGCCATCTTCATCATGCTGCAGCTTCCACTACTAACGAACGCTAGACCACTATTTTCACCAATGGCGATCACCCCTGCCTCTGCGCCTGCTCCAAGCCCCGCTGCTGCAACGAACCTGATCGGTGAAGTTTGCAAGAAAAGCAACATCGATCCGACGCTCTGCATCGCGACCCTGCGATCGATTCCCGGAGCAGCATCAGCGTTCGACGACATCAAAGCTCTGGCCGAACTAGTCATGGAAGCCGCCAGGGAAGAGTCGAAGGTCTTGGGCGAGATGTTCGGCGAGATTCTGAGCAACAAAGACGACGCGAAGAACCCGAAGTTCAAGCATTCGCTGGAGTTGTGTGCTCTCGACTACAATGAAGCGGCCATCTTCTTCACGACCAGAGGGCTGGGGGACGTGACGAAGAGTTTGGAAATACATTCTGCTTTGGATAACTCTCAGAACTGCGACGGCGAGCTGGTGAAGATCACGAACCGCGGTGGTGCCGGTCTGATCGATGACTCGATCTCGGCTGCTGTTCAGAGATGGAAGAATCTGTACGCGGTGGCCAATGGAGTCGTGCTGTATGCTGAAGATGTGTTCAAAGGCAACCCTGTGGATGATGGCCAAGGAGATGACGACTGCGGACCAGATTACTGAACCTGCTATCCATCTTTATCTATAAGAATTGTAAGGATTATTATGAAGTGTTTTCATGGAAGGAATTGAGGAAACACGAAAAGAAGTCTTTTGAAGTGTAGTTAGGGCTTCAAAATAACTGCTGCGTTTAGGAGTGGAAACTGGAAAAATAAACTTGACAGAGATATGTAAAAGAAAGACTTAACCATCCAAACAATTTGGCAATGTATGAAAAAAACAGGAACTTCAACATTTCTATGAACAGGCTGGTAACTATGGGACTAGATTTCCTTCCTTTCCAAAGTAAATTTCTGTGCAAAAACTACCAGATGAGCGGCAAAAAGAAAACAGATGATAGTTCCATTTGACAGGATTTGATGGATTTGAGGGACCATCTCTGCTCCATACTACCAAATAGAATCATGACAGCAAAGTTGGAGGACAGAATGGGTATACATGGGTCTGCAAGAATATATTCTAGACCAAGAGGTCACTCTTAAGATGGATCCAAGTTGGGAACAATTGCAGATGACAATTCAATATGAGAAACACGAACTGCCCCAATCAACCGTTCCGGCAACTCATCCGTAGCGTTTGCCTGCACGAATTGCATCATAGTAACTTCAAGTAGGGTTGAGCTAAACATTAAAGTGAGGAGCAGGAATTCTTTGATTGAGAAATTGTAAGAATACAGACAGGCTGTAACTTGAATAGAAGCGCAAAATTGCGTCAAACAAAAGGTCAATTTGTTTCAGATTTGAAGGATTAGGCTGGTAAGCGATATCAGATAAAATGTGTACCTGTACAAGGAAAGCCATATCAACCACCAAGGTAGTAATAACGCCAATTACAAGGCCCAGTACCCCATTAGCAACGGTGGAAGAACCAATATCGACGTCCACCTATGTTCATAAACCATCATCAGACAAACGAATCGTATCATGGTGGGGCTTGACAAGAATTTTCAGTAATATACAAAGTCCCGGACAGTCCTTACTTCAAGGTAGTCTGGGCCACGGATGTAGTTGCAGTCAACTGCTTTCCCCAATAAACATGGGGTACTTCCTACACTCTGGCGTACAATCCATGAGCCCTGTGGGTTTCACATATAGACACAAATTTATACACATTCTGAGTTTTGAGAACTCTAGGGAGTGTTTCATGCAATCAAAATTCCAATGTCAGTGTATCGTCTCAATCACTGTAGTTCAGATGAAAATGGAGAGGGAGTTCATCTATTGATCAAAGAGGTGGAAGCGATAGATGGATCTATTTACAACGTTACAAAAGCTCTAGCAAGAAAACATTAATTTATCATTCAGCACAGGCTATCAGGGAGGAGAAACTACCTTGGGAACTGATGGAATAAGTTTGAACCTACTGTTGCGGAATTCATCATCTCCATCAACAAACCGCTGCAACAGAGATCCGGGTACTAATGCTTTCGTCACAAAGTAAAACACCATGCTGTAATGAGTTGAAGCAGGGACCTGCATAACGATATAAAGTTACATCAAGGACCAAATTGTCCACAGAAACAAATGTGATTTTATCGTCCAAAACAATTAACTTACTTGCAGATTAAAGACCACAGTGAAGAGTCCTTTCTCCGAAGCAACCTAAAACCATAATATACCAGCAAAGGTAAAGCCATAAACTCGCGCTGGATATGAAGCTTGAAGAGAAGACAAACGAGAAATGCCAAATCCCACCCAGATATTAAAAGAACGATGAACTCTGAGGATAGATCAGATGAACTGATTTTATCCTTTCATGCCTGAATTCACTCATCCTCTGGTTATTTTCCCCAAGTTTCCACAATTTGAACCCTTTTATGTAACACTAGACTACTCGGTCAAAGAAGGCTCTCTTTGCCCTGCTGTAGCTTTACAAACTCAAATTCTGATTTGAGCTTTCAGAGAAGTGCGGTGAAAAAACAATTGAGCATTTGGTTACTAAATTATCAAACGTACTTTTTAAAATAAGTTTTGTTAATGACTAAAAAGGACATTCAAATATCAATAAAAATCAAGAAAAATAGTCAAAATGAATCTTGTTGAATTTTGCACATGTTAGCTAGATTATTTGAATTATTAAAATAAGTTAAATAAAAAAAATTTGTTTGAGAAAGATAATAATAAAAAAGGAAAATACTGTACTTCCGGAACAGCTTTTCACAGAAACTCCATATCAAAACTTCTGCTTCCAAGCTTAACCGAAAGCCAGATTTGCGAAATGTTTGGCCCGATTATGCTTTTGGAGCAGGAAAGCTATTGGAAAAGCCAGGCCAAACATATGCGAAAAAGAAGATATGACACTAGGCTACAAGTCTTTGGCCAATTTACCCTTAGCAGTTAAACACAGACTAGCTGGCTTCGCTGTCCAGCAGGATATATTCATACAGTATTTCTCTTCCAGTTCTAGAGATCTTTGGGCAATAGTTTCAATGCGAGAATTCAGAACAAACGACAAAATAGACTCACGTGACCAACCATTGGGAAAATGTGCACGTGGAAGCACTCAGAATGTGGTGCACCATACAGCGGCATACAATGTGAGAAACAAGTTCATTTGATGGTGCTAAAGGTGTAGGAAATGATGGAAGAAAGACTTCTTACTTGTGCTGCACATCCTTGACGCCTTGCCACATGATCCATTCTTTTTGTGTCCTTGAACCAATCAACAGCAACTAGATCCATTAAGTGTTTTCCTGCGGGGATCTGCATAAAATGCCCCATGCATTCGGAAAACAATTATAAACATGTTATCTTACCAAGACAACAGAGAACTAAGTACCATAGGTAAGTCACCTTAGTTTTGTCAAAACAAAAATTCTTGCTGCGCACTCTAAAGTTGTTCCCATCAGAAACTTTCCAGCAATCACGGGCATTTTCTCGCTCATCATAGCGTAGATTACCCACAAACCAGGATAGGTCAATCTTATCTCCAGGTTCTTCTTCGGAAGCTTCATATTGAGAATTCTCTGATTAGATGGAAATAGGTAACAGCACAAGCGAATCTGTGAATTTAAACACTTTTCTGGTCAGCATTCACCTGCTTTCTTCACATCATTCTCCTGACTTATTAGGTAAGCCTAAGTAGAAGAGAGAAATACAGTGTCAGAAGAAAATGTGGACAATAAATTTTTCAAGAAATTAGGGAACAACTCTCAGCAACCAGCCAACCTCCTGCTCTTCTTCAGCAATTTGAAATTCTTCATCCTCGTCAGAGTACTCATCCATCATGGCTGAGTTTCGGCCTGCCGTATTTATTTGATCAAGAGAAGCAGAGCGATGATGAACAGAAGATTCTTGCAACTTTAGACTCTTCTTAGAAGAAATAGAAGCAGAGGCCATGTTGACCATAACAGGTATTCTTGGTGGAGCCCCTCTTTCATCTGATTGGGCAAACCATTCACGCAATCCTGAAAAAGGGAGATACTTGAAAAACCTCAAAGTAGGACAATGATGATATGTTATCATACAGATTTAAATAAATTCGAGCTCCTATAGTCTAATCATCAATTGGTGTTCTTAACATGCACAACTTAATCAGAACCAAAACAAAATTGCATGCATCGAGTAATCCCATGGAAAGACACACAAACAGGCATCAAAATACTAGGGAACTCGTAGAATTATTGTATATTAAATGTAAATGATATAAACATAATATTTAAGGAAATGGTAAAAGGTTCGTTCTTGGATGTTCTCAAACAACTCAAGTTGATGGAGCAAACTAGGTGTTAACATGGCATCTGAGACTCTGATAAGCGAAAGAGCATGTTTTCGATTCCTGGTAACCGCCAATATTACAGTAGATTTGAGGACCATATCCATGGTTTGAATTTCATATGAAGGAGGTGTCACAATAAGGTACAAGATCCAATTTTTGGGAACTTTTTCAATAGCACAGCTCTTTTTTTATATGACCTAACCACATAATAAGCAAAACATATCATATGTACTCTTAAAACAAAATCAGGAAAAAACAGAGGAAGGCAGAGGACGGCTTAATTAGTTATCAGAATGTTCACCATCAAACAAGCTACTGTAATTTCTCAGCTTCAAAGGCATAAGAAACAATAATGCTATAAGCCAGAGATCATGTCAAATGCCAGACCTAAGAGTTTACTATGGGGATAGTTTTTAAGTACAAAGCAAAGATATCCATGGGGTAGTTTCTATAGTTGGCTGCAAAGCGCAACAATAGAATGTGGACCTTCACCAAAAACATATCTGTCTTACTAAGTGTCCAGCTTACACGCAAAAAGAAAGCAAGACTGACACGTAATAGACAATCTAAGCATCCAGCAACAAATGCCATTAGTCATTTGAAAGTGAAGGAGTTTTTAAGTAGATTTATACAAGCAAACACATACCAGCGACACTATTCAGCATCTGAAGGAGGCAGTGCTGCTGAAAAGATGAAATATAACCCACCCCCCATCCTTTCAAATCAATCTGGATAAGATGCTGAACCTGTGATCTGGGTCTCCCATTCCTGGGTTTCAGAGGAGAAATATTGAACCCGCCACCTGTAAATAGGCGAATTTACCATCGCAGAAACCAAAGCAATGGCCATACCCTGAATTTATAAGTACACCAAAAAGCATTCTAACTTACTCTCAATATGAGCCCGCACGTAACCTGGTTGTGGACCACAATTCTCATGCTCTCTAGACCGAAACAAGACAACTGAAAGAGAAAAAAAAAAAAAGACTCAGTTTCTAAGCCAGTCCAAATATAGGTGTCAACAAGGATTGAAAGATGAAAACAACTTACCATAACTGCCATCGTCATTTCGACGCCAATAACGTACATAACAAAGGTCGCGTGGCCAGACAACCCTACAGACAGTCAGCACACAAGCACCAAAGTTGGGATGAATTCAGTAGAGAACAAACATAATGAGCACGGGGACCAATTTAAATCCACAGTGAATTGTTTTGAATAGCGTTCAGGCCAAGTAAACACATCAGATCCAGTTCATACCCCACTCTCTCTTCCGTCCAAGTTTGCTAGTAAAGTTAATGACAAAAGACACATTATGAAGTTATCAGAGACACAAACTCACAGCAACAACAAAAAAAAATAACTCACTTTACTTTGAACAGAGCCCAACTCTCTGCAGTCCTCAATATCAATAGGCTTTCACCTCAACATCTTAACCACATGATAGGAAAATCTTATTCACACAGGCAACCATTATTAAAACATTATATTCACTACTCTGAAAAAGCTTACTGCATAGTAGCTTCAAACCATCAGCCTTGACAACTTCTTTGCATGCACAAGCACCAGTAATTTGACAATGCAGAATAATGAAATACAAATTTTGAAACAAATTGATCTTTCTCTCGATGAGGAGAATGAAAATATACTTTTTAGGACCCTAACATACTTGAGGAGAATGAAAATATAGTTTCAGGAGTTTTCCAGAAACACATTGCCCAGATGAATATTCTAACCTCAAGTTTCAACTTACCACTGATATATAGATCTCTCAAGAACAGAGAAAGAACAAAGTGCCCTTGTAATTCAATATATGGTAACCAACAGCTTGAGGGTTCCAAAACAAGGAAGGCACTTTTCATGTTAACTAAACCTAAGGAACCAAACAAAGTTCTGGGAACAACAAAATGGCCAAGGTTGCACCAAGAAGTGGAAAACTCGAAAGAGAGTATCTTCTATATTTCCTAATCCTCAGTCAACTCATTCTGCTAGTTTCAGGAGATCCTGAAATGCCAAGGTATATTCCCGTAGGGCCATATTTAAATTATGGTCCTTGCTCGTTAAAGAAATTGTTTCTCAAGTTCTGTTGAAATTTATTGAGCATAACCAAGAATAAAGCATAGGAAAGTTTATCTATTTTAATCTCTAGCAAAATCATAGTTGCTCAGAAAATTTGATAAAGCATAAAATCATATGAATGCATCTCTGACATATCAATAAACTCTAGTTTTTAGAGAATAAATGGCAGCAACAAAAAAAAGTCAAATTGCAGAAGCAATAGAATACTTTGGGATTTAATGTTATCCAGAAATTTCACCATGCTAAATCATATACAGCATTACAAATGAAGCTAGTATAACAAGAAAGAGTATTACGTTGAAAACCAATCCAGTTGAAGCCTGTGGTACAGTACTGCTGTATGGCCATCTACCTCCTCAACCAAACTGCCATACTGGAAACTGCAATCCCACCTGCGAGAGGCACATAAATACTGTGACAGGAACTCTGCAAGTATATGTGGTTGGAATCAGCAAAAAAGAGAAAGACAAGGATAAGTTCCTTAAAATAAATATACAAGGGCTGACAGTTACTATAACTAATACACTTGGAAAGATCCTAGATAAACATGGAATGGAATATACATGGACGTGCACATGGCACTGCCCCAAAAATAAAGAACTTTCTTCAATATCCAATATTGGCAACTAATCCCACCAAACCATTTGCTACCAATGAAAGTGCCAAAGAATTTGGGATAAAAATAACACAAGCCGACAGAAATATGGTTGAGGGATACGTGTGGAAACTAGAAGTGCATAAATTTATTCTAGTGCACCAAAACTCTCTACATATCAAAAGCATGTTCAACAAAAACTACTGAGAATACAAGAAAACCTACTCAAACCGTGTCCCATCCATGCTCATTACTTGTTCAAATATTTCTTCACAGGTAGCTTCAACAACACCCACAGCCTTCATTGCTCTACTACAGCTCCTTGGCTATGACAGCAGACAAAACAATAATGGTAATAAGATCACACAAGGCATATATTCTTTGCAGCGGGGAATTACGTAAAAGTTTCATACAAGGTATTCAACTTCAAGAAGCTCTTCAAAGATGCGAAGACCTGTCCATCACAAGAAGAAAAAAAAAGGGAGTTAGATTGAACCAAGATGTTGGTTTTGGATCCTTTCCATTTTCATCTACTTAGTGAGGTTACGAACAAGGAGTTTTTGCGCGGGGGAAGTTACCATTTTGACATTGCAGCAGCCTCCAATGCTTTCTAGAAAATGCTTGATCATTAGCATTCTGGGTTGTTAATTCCAAATCAATTTCTCTAGTCCAGTCAAATACAGAATCAGGAGGGCCTGTCAATTAAGAAGATAAACAAATTGGTGAATAATACATTAATTGAAAATTACTTCAAGATGACAAGCAACAGAACATAACCATTTCCAATAGTTGTCCTCCGCAACAAATTCGAATTAGAGTCGTCTTCATCCTCTTGAGCACTAAACCTGAAAAAGATTCAGATGTTGGCGAATTATACATACAGCTGTCCTTGATGCTATGCTATCCCTGAGTCAAACCGCTAAAATGAAATCGTTCCAATTAGATTCAATAGCATGGAATACTTATTGAGATACAATGACATAGGACAATATGTCTCTCAAGTGCAGATAATATGCTCAAATGCTAAGCAAGGGGGCGAATTCGCTCAAATATGTCAGCTTCACAAAAGACTGCGAGACTGATGTATACTGTATTATGTGAAACAAGGAGAATGGTTCAAAAGGCACTCACTGACTTTCTTGATCTGAGGACGAAGCAGCCCTTCCATTATCCATCCCCGACTTACACTCAAAAGAGACATATTTGTTACCATTCGGCACCTGGGACTCTTGATGCTGCACATGACCTCAAGCAGTAAGTCAATATGCAAAATAATCTAGAACATAACAATCAAGTCCAGTTTAACCATAAAAAAAAAAAAAATGAGGCAAGAAATAAGAACCCCAACGATACCTCCTAAGTAGATGTAACATACAACACACAACCAAGTACAGTGGGAAAAAAAACTAGCTTATATACGGTATACACAACAAAATCGAAGTCCAGTTGGCCTTGCCCCCAGAAGCCCAAAGTTCAAACTATAGCCAGAGGAAGATAATGACAACAGAAAACTAAAACAACCAAGTAAACCAACCTGGTCAATTACAAACTGAATCTTTTCCTTCCAGATCAGAGCTTCCTGGATGTTAAATGCTGCCATCTGAACAAAACCGCAAGATTGTCAATCATAGCAATACCAATGAATATAAGCAACCAATAAAACAGCAACACAGCTCAATCTGTAATAAGCAGCAGAAACATCTTTTTGGTATTGCGATTACACAGACCCACCACTATCTAAACCACATTCTTCCTAAGTGCTTGAGAGTGGTAAATGCAACATGTCATGTACCAGATGGCTAACAATTAACAAAAGCTCAAAAGCACCAACCACTTGATAGCACAAAGCAGTACGTGCCTTGTGGAAATTTAAGTGGCCTAACATGGCCGTAAATATAACATATTTCCCAGTGCATGAAAAGAAAACCAACAAACAGCAAAGCAGCAGAGATGCTCTCATGTTTTCATGAGTTCTCCGAAACAGAAGAAAGAGAAACCCACACATGAATTCAAGCTAGCGCAAGTTCTCCAAAACAGAACGAAGAGCAGAAAACTGTCCACCAAGTATATAAGATAAACAATACTGATGACTTCACATATTTAGCAAAAGCTCACTGACCGTGATCCTATGATATTTCTCCTTCTTGTTGTAGACAGATAGCACATAAACCATCTGCAACAACAAAATTACACATGAGTCAACAATTTTTCCTTGGAACTTATCAGAATCAAAGGGATGAAGCAAGTGAATTAAACAGCAGTAAGCTGTCTCTAGGACAAACTAATAAATGAAAAGCCAACCAATTATACCTCCCGAAATTGGTTCCAAGTTCCAACTAACAAAATTTTGAAGCAAGTCAGTAACAATAGTTCTGTCAGATAATGGATCATTTAACCACTGCTTCCTTTCATTTGCCTGAGAGAAACCTTGAACACATATTGGTGTTCAACAGATTACAAGAGTAGATGAGTCGCTGATACACGACCTAGCAATTTTAGCTCCTCTTTTGCAAATGCCGATCACTCTACTCTTTCACATAGATCACAGCATTGCCCGGGCATGAAAATAATCTCTTCTTCCTTCTTATAAGATTATTAACTTTTATGGAACTCTATCTATGTCCCATTGACCAAATTTGTTCTACAGTAGAGAAACAACGACATACTAAAATCTTGCAGAATTTAACCAAAGAGCACCAGACATATGGTACAGGCTATAGCAACCATCAAGTAGGAAAGAACAAACTCACCAGCCCATGATGAGTCTTCAAACCTCGGTCCTCCACCCTACAATTGCCATCGATCAGAAGGGTTTTGATTGGTACCTGAAACTTTCCATTTTCCATTATCATCCAAAAGAAGGAAAGATTTCTCAATATATATGAGGCATGATTGAATTCATTACTGACTTGACATAGCCAGAAAAGGTTGAACAAAATCAACCCCATATGAAACAAACAGAAAAACAGGAAGCAGAAAAAACGAAATGAATGAACAGAAGAAAGCTCTTTACACACTTTTTAGAAAGCAAGACAGACATAAAGAGAAAAGAATTCCAGCTCACAGAGAACTAGCTCAGGAACATCATAATTCTTTACTAGGTCAATGTCGAGAAAGAACAAAGGTTCCCCTGGAAAGCTTTGCATCATTTCGTATAACACAAGCACTCCAGCTTTTAAGGCTAAGCAGTGCAGCTGCTTCAACATCTATACACCCAAAACTCTCCACCTTTTTTGCAACTTTTGCCTAACAAATGGGAAAAGAAAATTTGTAACTAGGAGCCAGTTTTACCTGATTATCCTGCGGTTTCTTCTTGTAGTAAGCAAGAACCCTCGGTTCCAGCACAAAGTACCTCATGTGAATGAAGGATCGCCCGATCTTCCTCCTCCCATACCGCACCATCCACCCTTCGTATATAACCTTGGACATTTTTCTTGCTTCTGTCTTCCTATACCTCCAGAATCGCCTCGCGTACAAGTGACACTAGTTTGCAGTAGACTAAACGCAGAATTTGGTCATTTTTTTTGCTTTGTTGTTGTTGTTTGGAGTCTCGCAGAATTCGAAGGTCGGATGGAGGAAGATCGTCGCTTCCTTTACTGCGAGATCACCGTCAAAAGTCTCAGGTGGCCTGATGGGTCATACTCATAGCTAAAAGGTGAAACCCCGGCCGCGGCCGGTGTTGGCGCGATGAATCCCAATTCAGGAAGTCTGAAACCTCTTCAATTTCAGCATCGGCGGGAAACTCCCCAGAGGCCGAAATCCTACTCTGAACTTTAGTTTCTTTCCAGAGTCAAAATAGGGGAGAAAGAGAGAGAACGGAATTTTGAGAGAGAGAGCGTCCAGCAGTAGCAGAAGAAACAAGAACAGGGGGTGGGTGAAGAAGAATTCAACTGTAAGGGAGTGAAGTCGGAGAGGGCCGATTTAGGGCGCGAATCGCCGGAGGACGGGTGGAAGCGCAAGCACGAAGACCAGAAACTAATGCCGGCGGTCCAGATGGATGGGCGGTGGTGGGATTTCTGGAAGGAGAAGATTCTGACGGACAGAAGGACGGAGCGAGTTAGAGCCTGGTTGGAAGATCCCACACGACGCAAGGCAAAGTTTTTAAAAAAATTTGAAAAGAAAAGGGAGAGAAATTGGGACGTGCGCGGTCGCCATTGGTGGGAGTTTTTGAGTTTTCTAATTTTACTGGGCTTAATTGCAAGTTTGGTCACTCGAATTGCTATAAAATTTCACGTTTGCCACTCAAATTAATTTATTCCATTTATAGTCACTCGAATTAGTTGGACAGTTCAAGTTCGGTCACTCTCCGTTAACCTCCGTTAACTTTGACTGACGTGGCGGTCAACTCTGACAGTTGACCGTTAAATGTGTGACGTGGCAAATAAAAAATAATTAAAAAATAAAAATTAAATTTGTAAAAATTACACATCATTATCACAAAAAATTATAATTATAAAAAATGAAAAAAAAAGGAAAAGCTCGTCAATCATCTTCCCCGCGCTCACATAGACATCGAACGCCTTCACCGTGTGGGCGTACTCCATCTCAGCGAATCGATCGAGCATGACGGTCAGGACCTCGACTATCTCCATGTACAGAGCAAAGCTCTGTTTAACCACCTGCTGAAACGCCACCAGCACCAACCTGTTGGTCCTCCGGCGCGGCCCTCTACCTTCCTCCGGTCCCGCTGAAGGAGCCGGTCTCAGCATGCTTGAAAGTGGAATTCGGATTCACTCCTTACAGCGAGAGGCTGAACGGGCGGATCGCGTTTCTCGGGCTGGTGGTGCTGCTGCTGCTGGAGCTGGCGACGGGGAAGAGCGTGCTCAGCTACCACACCCCGTCGATCGTCCTCGTCCTCGTCCCGATCTAATTCTTCACGAGAAACAAAAGAAGATGTCTCTAGTCACAGAAGAGATCAGGGCTAAAGCCACGGAGGTCTACAATGACGAGCTTGCGAACAAGTATTATAAGAAAATGCTGAAGTGGCTGGATGCTGAATTAGAGTGGGTGTCGTCGTAATTCACGTTTGTGTTCGCTGTTTACATTCATTTATGGTGTTTTGTTGAAATGTTTAGTACTCGTTGATTCGATTATTTGCTTGCCGGTGTTAAAATTGATTTGATCTCATGACGAATCGATGATCTGATTCAATGTCCTATATATATACATTGTAGTTCGCCGCCGGACAATGAAGAACTGATGAGAAAGGACAGCGCCTGCGTTGCAGAAGCAGCTTTGAAACATTACAACGAGAAGGAGGTATTATTGGGTTTGGTTTACCTTTTCCCCCCCTCGTGTTTCTTAGTTGATTTGCCCCCTATCCACTACTTCAATTCTCCGGTTCCCAGACCTCGATCGATCGATTTTTTCGTTATGGATGAACAGGGGACGAAGTATGTGTTTGATGAACCCTTCCTCTGCCGTTGCATTTTCCTTTTTTTCATTTTTTATAATTATAATTTTTTGTGATAATGATGTGTAATTTCTACAAATTTAATTTTTATTTTTTAATTATTTTTTATTTGCCACGTCACACATTTAACGGTCAACTGTCAGAGTTGACCGCCACGTCAGTCAAAGTTAACGGAGGTTAACGGAGAGTGACCGAACTTGAACTGTTCAACTAATTCGAGTGACTATAAATGGAATAAATTAATTTGAGTGGCAAACGTGAAATTTTATAGCAATTCGAGTGACCAAACTTGCAATTAAGCCAATTTTACTGCTGGCTTGGCATTTTCGGGCACAGTATTATTATATATTTTTCGTTCTCCGGCAGCGCCGTGAATTGATGCATTCGGTAAATACCACAATTGGTTATTGAAATTATTAAATTGCGTTATTTTTAGTCACTAGAAAAATTTAATATTAATTTTGGTCACTCGAATTACTAATACAGGTCACATTTAGTCATTCTCCCGTTAGCCTCCGTCCAACTCCAGTCGCTCGAATTACTCAAACATGTTAGGCACTCGAATTACTGAAATTACTAAATTGTGGCATCTTTACTCACTAAATTGTGTCACATTTAGGCATTCGAATTGTGTCATGTTTACTAAATTGTGTCACATTTAGGCACTCGAATTACTAAATTAGTGAAACATGTCCAACTCCCGTCACTCGAATTACTGAATGGGTAAATGCCACATTTGGTCACTGAGATTACTAAATTGTGTCATGTTTACTAATTTGGACGGAACCTAACGGGAGAGTGACTAAATGGGAAAAAATCCCAGAATACTCGAGTTATTAAAAAAATTTCCCTAAATACAGTACTTATAAAACTAATTCCCAAAGTACAGCAGTTTCAACATCACTGTCTTGGACAAAGACAGTGATACTAATCACCGCTTTTGTCCAAAACAGTGAAGTGGCGGGGAACGTATCACCGCCTTGGACAAAGGCGGGGAACGTATCACCGCCTCGGACAAAGGCGGGGAACCTATCACCGCCTCTGACAAAGGCGGGGAACGTATCCCCGCTTTTGACATCAACAGGGAAGGCATCCCCGCTGCAGTCAACAACAGTGATTGCCTCACCGCTGTTGTACAAAACGGTGATATTTACCACGTTTTACAGAGCCCTGGTAGGTGGGGAAGTAGGTAACAGCTACCTAGCTATCACCGCTGTTGATTAAGGCGATGATGTGTTCACCGCCGTTGTCCAAAGCGGTGATTAGCTTTCATTTTTTCCTATAAAAACCTACGCCCACTTCCCTCCTGCTGCCTTACAGCAAATCAGTACAAAAATTATCGTTTTGTTAAGTCGTTTTCGCAGCTGGTTCCTCCGTAGTTTACTGCTCAAGAAACTCGTCGGGATTCGGTATGTTAGAATTATGTATTGTTTACATTTTGATGATGTGTTAGAATTAGGTATGTTAGAATTATATATTTAGATTAATTATGATATGATAGATGTTAGTTAGTTAGTTAGTACTAAATTTAGATTAATTTGTTTAGTTTTCTCATGATAGATCGGGATTGAGTATGTTATAAGTATGTATTTTTTACATGTTGATAAGTTAGTAATTATATGTCTGTATTTAGTGAATTGCGGTTATTGGAAAATATGTTATGATATATTTAGATTAATTATGATATGATAGATGTTAGTTAGTTAGTTATGAATTTAGATGAATTTGTTTAGTTTTCTCATAATAGATCAATTAGTTGCATTTTATTATCGCTTTGGATGATATTGTTTTTGTATCCATAATGTACTAATTATATACTATACTTAATTATTATAAATTGCAGACATGGGTAAATTTAAGAAGTTTCGGCTTATTATTTATTGGAATGGTCGGGTGACAAACTCGAACATTGGGATCGACTATGAAAATGACGAATTCAGTATGCTTACAATTGAGTCGAGATTCTCGTGGCAAGAACTCCATGACAGGTGTGCAGAAAGGACTTGTACGGGCGGGCAAAGGAGAGTTCGTCAAATTACTTACCGGTATCCCAACATGAGCGCTGACGGAGTCATGTACGAAAAAGTTGACATAAATGATGACGACGACGCGAACATGATGATACAGTTCATATCTGAGAACGGGGTGCGGCTTGCAGAGGTGTATGTCGAGACCGAGCCAGTCGGTGAAACTCATTCTCACCAGTATTCTTATGATGATGGTTTTGCAGGAGGGTATGACTGGGGTGGTAGTTCAAGTAACTACGGAGCAGGTACTTCTGCAGGAGGGTATGGTTGGGGAGGTACTTCAAGCAACTATGGAGGAGGTAGTTCTGAAGGAGGTGTTGGGTGGGAAGAATACCTGCCACATGGTGGTGAGACTGCTGTCGATATCGTTCAGCCCGACGGTGATCAATGGCCTGCTTGGGGTCCAGAGTGGGGTGACATTGAAAACACCCTTCGATTTGGGCGTACTTCGCATGACCAAGAAGGCGATGCTGGTTATGCTGGTAACGATGACCATCCTGAGCCGAGCTATCCATTCGCCTCCAGTGACGATGAAAGTGAGGAAGATTTAAGATCAGTCAGTGAGGAGGAAGATACGGACGATATCGATGACAGTGAGGTGGCGTTCCGTCAGGCCCCAACGCCTTACTACACAGAGGTTCCTGATCAATTTTTATATGGTCAGAACGATGCCCCTGACTTTCGGCCCATGCCTGTGTATAATCCGACTGCTAATTTGGAAGTGGGTATGGCGTTCACTTCGAAAGCCGATGTGCAAGACGCTTTTAGCGAAGAAGCCATGCGGCGTAACTTCGAATGGAAGGTAAAATATTCTGACAAGGGACAACTGCATGTCATTTGTAAGAATGCTGGAGAGGGTTGTATGTGGCAACTTCGTGCTGCATATATGAAGAGAAAGGGCGTCTGGGTCATGCGGACAGTAGAGAACAACCACAGTTGCTCCTCAACCATACTTTCACAGGATCACAGGCAACTGAAAGCAAAAAAGTGGCAAGAACCATTAAGCACCTTATCTAGGCACAACCAGATATCAAGATAAAAGCTATCATGGCGGAGGTGAAGGATCGACACTCCTACACCATAAGGTATAAGAAGGCGTGGCATGGGAAGCAGAAGGCCATGGCTGAGGTCTACGGTGATTGGGATGACTCGTATGCTTTACTCCCCAGACTAATGTCCGCAATGGAGGAGTCCAACCCTGGGACGGTTTTCGTGCCTTGGTACAACAACGTAGAAACTGAAGATCAAGTTCAAGTACAGAACGAGTTGATGTTTCATCGTCTGTTCTGGACATTCAAGCCATGCATTGACGGGTTTCCCTTCTGCATGCCAGTGATTCAGGTATATTACGGACTCAAAATATTGTACTATTTCATTACTTTACTAATTTCAATTTTTACTAACTCATTATTCATTTTAACAGGTTGATGGAACTTTCCTTACTGGGAAGTATAAAGGAACTCTTCTTATTGCCACTGGGGTTGATGGAAATTTAAGTATTTTTCCCTTAGCATTTGCATTAGTTGAAGGGGAGAACAACCTAAGTTGGGCATGGTTCTTTGACCAGCTACACGCCCACGTCACACAAAGAATGGGTATTACAATTATATCAGATCGACATGCCGGGATTAAACACGCCGTCCGTGGTTTTCCGGACGAATGGGGATGGACATGGCGTTGGTGTATTCGTCACTTCCTAGCCAATTTCCAACACAAATTTGGCAAGAAGAAAGACATAAGAGATCAATTGTGGAGTGCAGGTAGTAATGTAATTCAGTGCTTGTTCATGGTTTATTGTTCAAATGAAATTTCTTATGGCTTAATTATTAATTCTCCGGTTTTGTAGCGGTTGCACATCAACCAAAAAAGTACGAGCAGAAGATGAAGACGATCTGTCAAATACACCGGGCGGGATATGGATCTCATACCGCCTACAATCATTATAATTCATGGAATTAGTAAAAATTATATCCACTCCACCTAATAAATTGAAAATCATGACATTTTATATTTTTACCTGGTTCCACCAAGGCTTATCAAATTCAGCACGATAAAACAGTAAAGAGTGCTCGGGCTGGTGGTCGTTTGTATTTGCTCCGATCCACCTAATTAAGCAAAAGTACATATATAAGCAATTTTTAAAGCATAGATGTTTACTTGTTAAGTATGATTGTATGGAAGCATCTAAATTGAAATAAAATTCCTTACTTGGCAATAATCTAAATTAGCTAAATACGATTTGGTTAGATTAAATCCAAATTCACTTACTTGGAAGATATCTAAATTCACTAAAATACTATAATTGCAGACTTAAAATGTCTCTAAATTAGCTTAGTTGGAAGATAGCTAAGTTCACTAAAATACTATAATTGCATACTTAAAATTGCATACTAAGTTCACTAAGTTCACTAAAATCTAAATTCACCTAACTAGCTACCATTGCATATCTAAAATAAATTCAACTTAAATTGAACTTACTTGAAACCATATGGGGGATTTGCTACAATCGTAGCTCATCATCTGGCAACCAGAATTCCCGAGGGTCTTGAGGTGCGAGAAACGGAAGATGCTCCCATGCCCAGAGCTGAAGTATGAACATCGCACCACCAGCTTGTTTCGCTCCCAACCTCGAGCAAGTACACAACTCTCGGTAGATCCCAGTCAAGACGGCCGACCCCCAACTTTTTCTCCCGATCTCGTCCCAGTCACCGAGGAGCATAGGGAACCACATGCCTTGTATCCACTTATTTGACTTGTCGGGGAACAGAAACCCACCAACCAAGCCAATTAGGTATACACGTGCATACCTCTCCACCTGATCTTCAGGAGTATCCGGGCCTATATTAACCTCCAATTGGATTTGGTCAACAAGCCACGGGATCGATACTTGCCCCGCATTCAGTGGTGGATGCCCAACCCCTTCGACGGGCGTGGTGGTCGGCATGTTGAACCCCAAACGTTCCTGAATCAATGGCCCCCAACCATCTTCTGGTTTTCTCGAGTTGTCGATGATGGCATCTCCTGTGATCGGGAGCCCGGTGAGGATGGCAACATCTTTGAGGGTGATCGTCATTTCACCCTCGGGGAAGTGGAAGGTATGCAGCTCAGGGCGCCATCGCTCTGCCATTGCCGTCAGCAGATCGTTGTCAATATCAAGCCTCATAAAGTGCCTCAGATTGTGCAATCTCGCCCTCTCTAGATAGGGCTGCAGTCGAGGATGCCAACGGGGCAATCGACATGTCCCTCGATGACTGAAGGGAATAAGTGATTCCTACAAAACAAAAAACACAATATTGTCAGTCAATAGAAAGCAAAATAAAAACTTAGAAAGCAAAATAAAAACTTTAAAACTATTGAAATAATTTTAGTGTGTCTACCGGATTATTGTTCCAAATTGAACGAGAGCGATGTTGATCTTGCCCGGTTAAATACCTTCGATCCCTTGGGCCAGGATCGATATACAATCTAGGGTCGTATATCTCAGCACCCATCTATAAAAAAATATGAAATCAAATCAATTTAAATTTTAGCACCCATGTAAAAAAAATCACAAAAGAATTAAATAAATTTACGTACTCTCAAAGCCTCTTCGTCCATTTTTTGCCGAAAAGCTAGCGAGAGTATCGACAAAACAACAAAACAAAAACTCTAGTAATTCTTTCTGATGCGGAAGATCGGACTTAGCCGCAACCACAGAGCATACTTAGAACGAAACTAGAGTGAAAAATGGAGGGAGAAAGAAGTATAAAGTGGTGGTGTGGTTTGGAATGAGGGGGGGATGGGTATTTATAGTGTTTGGGGGTGGGAAAAGTCTTGGGCATTAATCACCGCCCCGAAGAAACACAGTGACATCACTGCGTCCAACAAAGGCGGTGATGGCACGGATAGGTGACGTGGCGGCGTGTGATGCGTCGGATTGTGGAGAAAAACCACAATCCGCGCATGACTGCATCGGACGGCAGCGGTGAAGGCGCGGGTGGGGCGGATCGCTGACGTGGAAAGCGGGGCTATCACCGCTTTGGTCTTCAGCAGTGAAGTGCCCGCGCGCGTCCACGTCAGCGATCCGCGCCACTTCACCGCTTTTGGATCCAACGGTGAAGGCCCTCACTGCTTCCCTCATCAACGGTCATGCTATCACTGTCGGCCTTGAAAGCGGTGATAGCATCACTGCATTTGTCAAAAGCGGTGATGTATCATCGTTTTTGACCAAAACGGTGATCAACATCACTGTCTTAGACAAAGACAGTGATGTTGAAACTGCTGTACTTTGGAAATTAATTTTATAAGTACTGTATTTAGAGAATTTTTTTAATAATTAGAGTATTCTGGGATTTTTTCCGACTAAATGTGACATGTTTCAGTAATTCGAGCGACCAAAATTGATATTAAATTTTTCTAGTGAGTAAACATGACACAATTTAGTAATTTCAGTGACCAAATGTGGCATTTACCCATTCATAATCAGAAGTCAAAACAAAGCAAAAGACTAGCAAACGGTGTCTGGTGCGGTGGTGCACAACTCTCAAGTAGCATCACATTCGCATAAGGTAAAGACCTCACATCAAACAAAAACACAAGTATAAATTTTTTGTAAAGTCACCGTAACTTGTACTTTTCGGTCGACTGAAGATAAAAATGGTCGACCGAATCTGTTGTTTCAATTTTATGACGCTTAACGACGCGACAAATCTTTTATAGCAAATGGTCGACCTCTTTGGCAAGCGAACAACATAAAAGGTCGACCCCATTATCTCAAAGGGCGACCATTTTGCTATTACAAGGTCGACCTCATAAATGAAAAGGTCGACCTCTGTTTCATTAATTGATCAACATCAAAGTCGGGAATATTTAGGAAAATAGTTGAAAATGTCGACCTGACAAGTATGTGGTCGACCGCGTGCACACCATATCCGTATTGGATAAGGATTCCAACACCAGAATGGTAACCCTAATTTGTCTACCACTTAATTCTCTCTAATCTCATCCTAAATATCTATAAATACGAATATATGTCACCTTCACCGCCACCGAAATTTTGAATTCGGTTTTTTGTACGTTTAGAGTTTTGGTGGAGAAGAAGTCAGTTGTTGTTCTTCCTGTTCAGGGCTGAGAAGGTCGACCGAATAAAAGTTCAGGACGACCGGATATAGGCACCATTTGTGGAACAAGATTGGCTGAATGTGATATCTCTCGATGTACCATACTACCCAAAAATGGTACAGTACTTCTACAACAACAACGTCTATCAGTGTTCTGCAAATGGATTGATTCATGCTTATAAAAGCTATGTGAATGTGGTGGAGATGCGTATCAGCAAGAGTGTGTTTGGAGCAGTACTGGAAGCTCCAAACCAGGGGAAGAGAATTGATTCCTACAATGCTTGGATTGAAACTCATTTCTCGAGGGTCGGGCAAATTCAGACTGTATGTGGTCTTGTTGGAGAGGAAGATGTTGAGGATCGCAATAGGCCAACTATTCGTCAGTTGACAGTTCAAGTCATAGTTGTTCATCACATGCTCTCCTACAATATTCTTCCAAAGGGTGGACATCGGGAGGCAGTCACCTACTTTGACATGGAGGTCCTCGCCAACCTGCTTTCACATGAGAAGGTGAACTTGTCATACTTGATATTTAAATACATGCTTGTTGTTGCAGAAAGTTCAACCATGAATCTTTCTTATGAGATGATCCTCGCTTTGCTATTTGAGCATTTTAATGTGGATTTAAGTGGTGAGGTTGGCTTAAGAGTTTGAAGATAGGAGTTCTATATAGTTACATCTATGAAGAAGATGGGATTTGAGCTGCATGATGGTGAGTATGTCCGAGCATACAATCCTCATGTAGTCCATGGTGGTGGTGATGATGATGCTGATGATGATGACGATGAAGAGCCTGGAAATGAGCCAATGGCGCAACCACAGAGTTCAACTCCACCAGTCACCCTACATCGTATATGGGACCTCATGGATGACATGTACGACTACATGGGGCAAATGTCCACTCAGATGATTGTCATGTACGACTACATGGGGCAGATGACCAAACAGACCAGATGAGCACACTGCAAGTGACTATAACAGAATACAAGATGAGTTCCGATCTTTCAGTGAAAGATACATGCATCCCACCACATCCGACTACCATAATGCTAGCACCGCCAATGAGGAAAATGCGTGAGTGAGAGAGGGGAGAGGTGTGGGAACTCCATGATTTTAGATTGTATTTTTTTTTGTTAAGTCTTAAAGACGATTTGGTTTGAAACAACTTTGATTGTTGATTGATATTATGTGGTTTCGATTTTAGGTATGTGTGAACAATTATGAGGTGTGTTTTATTGTATTTATTATTAGCAAGTTAAGTTGTTATGTTATGAAGTCAGGGGACTTTACTATCATGATTTAGGACTGATTCTGTTGGTTTCAAACGTAATTTGTACGAGCAAACGAATCACCCACATCGACATGCATAAGCAAAAAAGGCAAAGGTCATAGGCTGATTTTCTTGTATAAGGTTGACCTTTTACTGTATGTGGTCGACCGCGTAACCAACACTTTTGATCTTCGTTTCACGTCAAATGGGGCTAGATAAATGGATAGAACTTTACTCTTCTATCTGATCAACCTCTTTTTGTAAATGGTCGACCATTTCGGTAATGACTTCAATCAAGTGGTCGACCTCCATACTTTACAGTCCACCATTTTGCTTCTGACTACAATGAAAAGTCCTACCAAAGTTTTATTGTGGTCGACCATTAATGTATCAACTTAACTTAAAACGATCAACCACTATATTTTAACTGAGCGGCTAAATCTCGCCCTAGTTTTACTAGTACCGCCCTAACTTAAAACGTGATATTACTAATTTATTCTTTATTTAATCAATTTAAATTAAATAAACCAAACAAAAATTCCTAATCATCTTCAAACAACGCATCACTCCTCTCCCCAGCATCCCGCCGGTGTTCCTTCTCCATGTCCCTCTCCAACAACTTGGTTAATTAGTTACTTAAGTCTGACGATTTGCTCGAGAGCCTCCATGAATTGGAGATCCATTATGAAGTATTAATTCAACCGATGTCTCATTCGTCGAAGGGTTGAATGAGCAGTTATCTGCTTGTGGGTACTGAGGAAGGTATCCAGGGAGCGACGATGGAGGCAGGAATCCCTCGATCTCGTACTGCGGTGGAGGGTAGACCTGCGGCGGCGGGGTAAGGAGAGAAGGATTGGCGCCGTTGAAATTGGGATATTCTGGAACAGGTTTTTAATTTTTCATATTTTGAAATGAATTTTTTAGTTAAATAAAGTATATTTTAATACTAAAAAGGAAAAAAGATAGAAATGTCATTTTGGTTGTTAAAGTTAGGGCGATAAAATAAAATTAGGGCGATAGTTAGCAATTCCCTTTAACTGGTCGACCGTGATTGTTCATTAGAGTGACTGACCACCTTAGTGAATTCGGTCGACCGCAGTTAGGAACAGGTTGACCGAATTGTGCAAGTTATGATGACTTGCAAGGCACCATAGGGGTACCCAACTTTTTTTTAATCCAAATTAAACAAACTATTAATTGTTATCCCATTAAATATATTTTGACCCGTTTGCCTAGTTAGTTTTTTATATCCTATATGTTATGTATTCGTTGTCTGGTTCCACAATTTTGATTCTCTCAAAATTGTGCGATAACAAGTTGAGTATTTTGGTTTGGAGTGCAAATCAAGATGGTTATGTTTACGAGAGTATACATTTCAAAGGAAAATAAGTAGTGATATTGTTGATGTGGTATTTACACTCAATTTTATTATTTTACCAGTTCTTGACATCATCTTTTTCTCGCTTGGCCAATGTGTGCATAATTGGCCAATATACATTGTTGTGATATTAATATGTACTAAATTTTATACATCATTTTAATACAATAGTGTATCAAGATATATTAAGTTTTTGTTAGTGTTAAGCATAATTAAGGTAAGAGAGACAATCAAAAAATTTGTTATGGAGATAATTGGGCAAAGAAAAAGAGTCAAATAGTGGGACTAAAAATGAGAGGGTAGTTTGAAATTTAAAAAAATGAACAAGTAATTGGAAAAAAATACAGTAACCTCGTATTTGGAGAATATCAGCCCTCTCCTAGTATTTGTCTAATAACAGTTTTGTGATATTTGGAGAATAACATGTATCAAATATTGCAACTTTTTTTTCCAGCAAATGTGTTATTTGGTCACTAATACCACACTCAAATAACAAATCTAAATAACCCATAAAACTATTTGAAAGAAGCAATGTTATTAAAGCCGGACCAGCCGATTCGAGCAATATAAATGCCAATCGGACCCAATATCTACCCATATGATACTTTTGGCCACTTATTGAGAGCATGGCGGCCAACAACCGGTGCAAATGGTTTACTAGACAAATCGTTCAAATTGCCCAGCCGATTTTGGTTGGTTCGACCTAGAAGCAAGGTTTAAGAAACCCTACCGTACAGGTCGGTTGGACCATAATTGGATACCGGAGGCAAAACAATAGGCAATTTTAATAGTAGGAAACGGTCGAACAACGGTTGAACCTGGTTACTTTAGTATAAAATACCCTACCGCTGACTTTTCCAAGTATAACCTCAGGTACGGTTTCACAATACTTGCCTGGAAGGGATGCAGGTCGTGTGTGCACAAGTAGATGTGACAATTCTCAATCCAATCCTCCAATTCAGTTCACAAATCCATTGAAAATATCCAACTAATCTAATCCATGTAAATCCAATTGGATTTGTGGATTCATGCATTCGAATCATGGATCATTGGCAAATTATAGTTTAGTACATATAATATTTATTTTTACATTTTGGTACCTAAAATTTAATTTTTTATACGAAAATATTATTGGAAATTTACATTTTGGTACCTAAAAATTTTCATTATAACATTTTAGTACTTAAACTTTTCACATTTTACATATTGGTCCAAGGTTGAGGATGTCATCATGGATAATCCTCCAATTCACGTGATCCAATCCATTTGATCTATAGATCCACCAATCCATTTGTCACCTATTTGCACAGGACAACTCATCAACTGGAAGTGCCCGGCTGCCCGCCTCAGGGGTGAGTATGTCTCCGGCTCTCCGCACATATGGGACCGTAATTCCCGCTCAGTAAAGAATGGGTAAGAGGTGTTCTTAGAGGAGCAGATGGGCGTATGCTTTAAGCTTTTTCAATGAACTTGGTTGGAGGCTCAATAACACATGCAAAATTGGCAGGCATAGTGCATGGTATGCGAATAGCTTGGGAGGCAGGATTCAGAAAAGTTGAGCTTCATTCCGATTTAGCTACGACAATACAGCTGAAACAGTCGACGAACAATCAGCACCCGCTCATTAATGATTTTTAATGACTTAAGGGTGCGTTTGGATACAATGATTTGGATTTGGTATTTGTGATTTGGATTTCCAAATACCAAATCATGTGTTTGGATATTAATTACATTTGGTATTTGGATTTGTGTCAAATTCATGGGGTGATTTCCAAATACATGTCTAGTGTATTTTTTGTCAACTTCAAATACATTTCAACAACTAGTGATTTGAAATACCTACTAACAAAAGAATGGACCTATTTGTAAAATATGAAAAGTTTAGGTACTATAGTGTGAGGCAAAACATATAAGGGTACCAAAATGTAATTTTACTATCAAAATTTCAGGACCTTTTTGTAAAATCTTAAAAAATCAGGTACTAAATTGTAAGAAAAAATAATTTTGGGTACCAAACTGTAATTTACCAAAATTTGTAATAAGTGACCAGAAAATTAAAAATTGAAATTGAAAACATAAAATAAAAAATACAAACAAATTACAAATGAGTATCCAAACAATGAATTTGAATTACATGTATTTCAAATGCTAATATTTCAAATACATACATTTCAAATGCTAGTATTTCAAATACCTTACATTTAAAATACACTTATCCAAACGCACCCTAACACTGATTAAACCACTCAAGTGAGAACAGTTTACTATACCGATTCTGATTCATAGTTCAGTTATGACAACATTAGAAAGAAGATTTGAGCGATCAGGGAAAATAATAGCTGAAGGACTATGGTAGTAAAAGCCTCAAAGTTAGAGGGCCTCAACGAAAGAAGAAAAAACCTTATCTATCTAATCCATCTCTGATCTCTCTCTCCTCCAACCTCCAAGCCTATTTCCATTTCGCCCCGAACCAACCTATGAGTGGCTGGCTGACTGGCTGCAACTGGTGTGATGAAGCTTGTATCCTCTGCTTCTGCTCTGCTGTCCGCAGCTACTCCCACCTCATTTCCTCACAAGGTAAACCTTTTATACCACAAACGGATTAGTCTTCGTTATTATACTGCTCTGTTCATCCGAATCGTGAAAGTATGGAACTCGAATGGCAGCAGCAATTGACCAATCGTTTCCGAAAGACCCTGTAAACTGAGCTTCTTATTCCGGCTTTCAGCGTTAGATATGAAATACAATCTAAATGGGTAGAATTTTCATGTGGATGCAAATGTGTGTGCGAGTCGGTCGTGTTTAAGTTTCTGAAAATTTCCCTGTTTGTGTTTGGTTTGCAGACTGACCAAATTTCTGAACTTGCTGCTGTAACAACATTCCATCAGTCCTTCAGTAGAGGTTCAGTGCCAAATACGAGAACTTCCCGTAGATGCAATCCATGGTCCCTCTCAAGCTCCGCAGCGCCATTTCTGCTCTATGCAACAAAAAACCCAAGAGGGTTTGGTCGGGCAGTACCCTCTAAGAAAACCAGCAAGAGCAAGAAGAAACCAAAGACGCTAACCTACGAAGATGACGAGGATGAAGATGGTGGAGATGGACAGGAGGAATCCAGCAGGGATTCCGATGATGTCATACCGGAGATAGTCACCAACAGGATGATCAACCGGATGGGATTGTCTGTTGGGATACCTTTGTTCGTCGGGCTGTTGTTCTTCCCCTTTTTTTACTATCTCAAGGTCGGGCTGAAGATTGACGTGCCCACATGGGTTCCCTTCATTGTCTCCTTCTTCTTCTTTGGGTCTGCCTTGCTAGGGGTGACATATGGGATCGTTTCTTCCAGTTGGGATCCCTTGAGGGAAGGCTCTCTTTTGGGTTGGACTGAAGCTCAGAAGAACTGGCCTGTCTTCTGGAGCTCTATCTGGGGCAATAGGTCTTCTGGCAACAAATAGAGCTGCTCATCGAGCGAGAGCTGATGTGGAAGTCCTTAGATTGGATCCATTGCAGTAATTAGTACATTCCATGTTGAGCTGAGCAACATCAATGTCCTCTTTTTCTGGAAAGAAATTATCTTAATCTAACAAGCACTACAAAACAGGCCAATCGAGTTCTGAAGAAGAAGATTCAGAAGAATGCAAAATCCAGGGACAAACCAAAATGTAATTCAAATAAACATGGAGAGCCATCTTGAAATAAGCTGAGTCGAGTTGCAGCACATCAGGCAGCTTTCTTGACAGCAGAACACAGCCTATGGATAGCACCACACCAAACCATCATCTGCAGGGCATCTCAGTTCGAAGGCGGCCTTAAAAACTGGGTCTGTATAAGCTAAACAGAAACAATGATATGATATGCTTTGTAAGCATCGCGAAAAATCGATTATGTTTCTAGCTACTTCTCCAAAGTTTTGATTGCTTAGCAAATACCAAAGGAATTAGGAAACAAAAGGGTGATCTAGATGGTATGTGTGGAGGTAGTAGGGAAGTAGCAGTTATCTGCAATCATGCCTGTGTTGCATAACATCGTCTCTCTTTCATTGATATCCCACACAACAGATATTCGTCCTAAAGTATATCAATCAAATGTTACAGATAAAATCATTGCAATTTCCAAATACAGGGAGATGGCCTGTTTCTCTTTTCATGCAATCAATAATACATTATGTGTGCCATGGAGCTCATAGTCCTCCGTTTCGGTTACTGCCGCTCCCTAGTTTCACTTTGGAGACACTTTGAACTGCAGAAGAGATGCAGTGCTGCCTCCAGGAGAAGAAGACATCACAAATCAGAAGCATAACCATAATATCAAAGGAAGGAAGTAGACCAGCTTCAGGAAACATGAAAGACTATGATTAAGGAATATTAAAAGTGGTATTGCATATACCTTCACATAGTAAATGCTGCTGCTGCTGCTGCTATCTAGTAAATCTCATCCTCAGGCACATCTGGGTACAGGAACTTCATTGGATCTTTTCGCATGTCCTCATAATTCAGGGTAGGAGTAACCCTATCTGGCACGGGAAATAGAGGAATGATGCTATCCCTGTCAATCACACCATCAATTATTCCATATTCAACTGCCTCAATTGGAGACATGTATCGGTCCCTGTCAATGTCTTTCGCCACCTGCTCAATCGCCCGACCACTCCAGCTTGAAATGAGGCTCACAATGTTGTTCTTGTTGTGCATGATTTCTTTTGCTTGAATCTCCACATCTATTGCTTGTCCACTAGCACCTCCAAGTGGTTGATGAATCATTATCCGTGTATTGGGCATTGCCAAGCGCTTGCCTTTTGTGCCACCACCAAGGATAATGGAAGCCGTTGATGCTGCCATGCCGAGGGCAACAGTGGAAATGTCAGCCCTAACAAGTTGCACGACATCATAGATGGCCATTGTTGCACTGCACAAATTGATTCATGAGTCAATCAGAGAGGACCAGGGATAATGGCATGCTAACAACAGTTTTGCTAAGCACAATGCAGAATCCAAACTGTTTGATTATGTTTTGAAGCTGATAATTCAAATATGTAAGCCACTGTTTCATCACAGACATGTTATACCGGGAAAGAGAGTTGACAAATCAGTACACATTAATTCCATTGGACAAAATTGGTAATAACTCAATTCTCGTCTTTTCACAATGTGAATGATGAGAGATACTGTAATAGAAAACAAGGGTGCATGTTCATGTACCAATTTCCAGTACGGGATCTGGCAACATTTTTTTAGGAATACAGTTAAGATGGAGAAGGCAAATATATATTAATAGTAATACAGCCATGCTATTGTTAGGAAGGGGCCTGCGATGGATACACCTAGTCCACCTCACAAACAACTTCTGCTACCATTGCTTAATTCAAGATTGAGGAAGGTTAAAGCCCTTCAGGAAGGTTAAAGCCACCCAAACTAAAGGGAACAGTCCTACAGTAACACCCACGAGACATTCAGAAACAGAAAGAAATCTTATATTCAAACCAAATCATTTTTTTCAAGAACATTCTACACAAGAATTTGACACAGTGAAGCAGCACATTCCTTGGCACACATTAAGTATACCATGACATAAAACAACGGTAAACTACAGTCACCGCACCTACTGTGAGCACAATTTCCCAACGAGAGCCATGAAGATAGGCCTAAGACAAAGACTGCACATAACAAACAAATCGACAAGGCTAAATCTCTATTCTGTAAGCAGAATAGATCTTTACCATCAGGTTCACTAACTCACTAACTTAAAAAGGATGTATGCAGTATGGAAGATGACAAATGGAAAGCGCTCTGGGTAATTATGAAAGTCACCAAACCAAAGACGGGAAACAGAGAAATACTAAATGTAGAATGTTTATTTGCACAAAGCTTGCTCTAGTCTTATAGCAAATTTATCAATCTTCAAGAAGAAGGGGCGGATAAGTTTAAGGAGAAGTAACACGGACTTAATCAGCAGAGACCATAACCTACTAATAACACTGTTCTTGAAACTCACAATCATTTGCCCGCATGGAGTGATTGTGCCAATGCATCCAGCACAGTGCTCAAGACTCCATCCTCAAACATGATATACCTCCCGAAACAGAACTGTCGGCCAAATAGTTGGTCTCACCTCACTAGCCAATGACAGGCAGACACTCATCTGGATATTCCCAACTAACCTAATCAATCAGCATAAGAATATCTGTGCACATCCCCCGCCCCCAGATTTCAGGCTGAATCAACAGAAGGACGAACTTCCAAGCAAGAGACACACTCCTTAGGTTCAACCAAGTTTATCATTTGGATTAGTGTTTCATCCAATGCCTGGATTCAAATTTGAGACACGTTTCCATTTCACGCAGCAAAATAATTTTGAAGTTGTGAAATTTAAGTTCGTAACTAACTGTCAAGATACATAACAGCATTCGTTTGCAAACTCAATCAAAGAGACGGGTAGACATCACAACAAAGCACATAACTTTTTTATACCAAAATCTCATCTTTCCCAGTAAACCAAACTGCAGACTGGCAATTGAGGAAATCGGATCCACAACCATTATACCGCCCATTTTCAGGTCATGGAGCAGAACAGAAAATAAACGCAGTCCACATAGGTTTAGCAAGAAGCGGATGTGAAATTAGTTACTTCTCAACTGGCTCTAGTTACCTGAGAGAGCCGCCAGGGGAATTGATGAAGAGGCGAATGTCTTTAGTGGGGTCCTGAGCATCAAGGAGCAGCAATTGACTGATGATGGCATCGGCGACAAAGTCGTTGATTTCGTTGCCGAGGAACACAATCCTCTCCCTGAGCAGCAGGCCCATGGCGTCAGTCTCAGCTCCCCTCATGGCGGTGGCGGGAGACTGTGGGCTGTTGGCGGTGAGGGAAGAGGTGACGAAGGAGCCATTGCGGTTGGAGGATGGGTTAATTGAGGTTTTGGGATAAGAGGAGCAATGAATAGCGGTGGCGGCGGTGGGTTTAGAAGGGAACGAGGAGAAGGATGATGATGATGAGAAGGATGTCACTCCTTTGCGATTGAAGTAGGAGGCTGATGCTTGGTGCGGGATCGAAGGAGACGAGAGGGACAGTAACTCCATTGTTAGACTTCGAGCGAGCAAGAGTCTCCGAGGGAAAACTAGTCAGGGATGGATATCTGAGACTTGGGGATGGAGTAGGAGCACAAGTGCATAACCTCCTACCTTCCCTTCTTTATTATGGATTCTACTAGGCCTCCTCTGGGCTGGGCTCGGTGGGTTTCTGTTTTGGATCAGAAGATGACTTTTGGTCTTAGTGGGCTTTTAGATCTACCTGTTTTCGGTTTAGGCTTCTGCGAAAAGATCACTTTTTTCGTTGGAAAACTCCCCAATTCCCATCCCCGGCCATTAAATCGCCGCCAGTTTCCCCGGCGGAGCCGCGACCACCGTCCTTACTCATCGTCGGACTCCGTAGCAGTTTCCTGCTGTTTGCAAAACCTTTCGCTGTCGCCTCGATCTCCATAAGTGGCCGTAGTGGTGCTTTGTCCCGGTTCGCTCGCTTTTCAGAGTTGGTCTCCGGTAAAACACTTATCATCCATCCCTACGGTCCTCAAGTTATGTTGATTAACGGTGTGCTGTTGGTTGTGCTGTGGTGATTGATAAAATATTTAGTTGGACTTATAGGGATTTCTGCTATTGATTCAAGAGTAGAATGAACTTGCATCGTCACTTTCTCATTGGTGAATAGCATGTGCATCTGCATGACTAGATAGGAGTAGCTAGTTAGTTTGTTGGTGAATTACAACTGCCAAGCTGAATCTCAGAATCTGAAGTGGGAAGTTGAACTCTTCTTCTGTTAAATAGAGAGGGATGGGCTTTCTTTATGTGGAAGTGGAACCCGATTTGGCAGCTTACCCTTTTCTATCTGCGATCCCCTGTAGAAAGATGAGACAGTTCTGTACTTCTGTTAGTAGCGAATTTCTGTGTATAATTGTGTGAAATGTTGGGATGAATAGTTTTGTGAATAGGTCCGTGCATCTGGAACCTATGGATGTGACCCAATCTGTTCTTAACAAAGATGCATATGCTTTTCGAACATAAACCTTTTAGGTAATGCTTCCAAAATACGATGACCGTGAGTTCTTATCTTTCCTGATTTCCTTTAGTTGATTTGTCAACTTGCATCTTAGGTGGAGCATAATGGTGGCTTTTAAGAATAGATACATGGTGATGGAAGTTTTCTTGGACCCAAATCGAGACATCAAAGGCGACGATTCTATTATCATTACACCGTTCAATTTGATGAAAGCAATTAAAGATAGCATTCTTCCAAACTTCGGGGAATGTTTCTTGGCTTCGTCACTTGGTTCACTGCAAGGTATGTTGCATGTTAATGATCTACTTAATGTTCGTGCATATTTATGAAATTATATTTCTGTAACTTCTTGGATCTGTTTTCATTGCAGTCAAGTATGTGAACCCCATCACAAAGATATGCATAATCAGAGTTTCTAAAGAGAACCATCAGAAAGTTTGGTCAGCTATTACCATGGTCCGGAAGATAGGGAATTGCCCGGCATTTTTCAACCTACTGGACCTTAGTGGTAAGCAGACTTACTGAAAGTAATTTGTCTTGCAACGCTGATGAGTTCTGTTCTTTGGTTGAAGTTCTCATACATTGTCCTCTGCAAACCATGGAGTACTTTGTTATTTGCTTTCAATAATTTTCATGGAATTTGTTGCAATTGTTGTTCATATCAGGATCTGATCAAAACAAAAGGACTCTTTCAGAGGGTTCGAACATGACTCTGGTGTTTCAAGAAAAATACCCATGTAGAAGCTATTTTTATTCATCATCAACAATTTTACATTGCAGAAAGTGTATAAATTTTGCAGCACCATTTAAAATTTCTCATTAAAATCTTTCTTACTTGACTTCTGTATATCCTAGGTTTATCCTTATACTGTTGTGTGATGTATTCAGTTAGGTGTGCTATTTGTTGCTTGCGTCTCTCTGTACTGGGAGAATTAAAATGTCATTCAATCACGATGAATGAGTATCCTGTAGGATTCTTCACTTCATATCTGTACTGCGGTTGGTCCAGATCTCTTATTTTCCCCTTCTTTCCTTTTGCAATACAGGAAGTATAAGGGCTTGTAGAGTAGCTGCTTTAAAGTGTGATGAGAAGAAGTTTGAGCACTACAAGCTCATGGCTGGGGACCGATTGTCCACTGATGATAGTCAGCGCATGCAAAACTATCTGGAGAAGATCAAACTTTTGGAGAACTGATTCTGTTGCTGCCTGTTTAGGTATGGTTTGGTAGCGTAGAGTAGGGAGATCATTTTGGGGCAATAGAGTAAAATGATTTGGTGGAGAAGGTTCTTTGTCTGTGTTTGTGGATATAGTGATATGTTTTTGTGTCTGTTTGCACGTTTCTCAGAAAAGGTTTGTATCTGTGAGAATGATCAAATTTGACCTCGTATATTCTATACCAGGTACGAGGTAGGGAAGTTTAGTTTCTGGCACTTCGTAGCTGCTGAGTATGTTTTGGGATAATCTCGCTTTACCCTTCATTTTGTGAAGCCAATGAGTTTTCTGGAATACATATTGCAAATCTGTTTAGTGTGAACATGGAAAGGAAACACATTAACCGTTTGGAGGAGTATACAGAACAGGTACGCAGACATGTTTATAAGAAACTATTGGGAGCAGAGAGGAAATATAAATTATCATGCCAAATAGAGAGCACTTCAGAAACCGGCTTGTTGGCGTTTGGCATAGGAACTTGGTGGGCATGAATGGTGAACCTCTTCTGATGCAGACCATGGAGACATTCTTCAAAGCTGTTTTCTAGAGTGGCCACATCATATGTTGTGCAGGAGATAAAAGCTTCTGCTGTACTTGTATGGTGCCAATTCAGGGCCTTCAATTGGACAACATTTGAACTGTTATGATTGCATTCCTCTGTAGTTTAGTGGTATAATCTGGTATGGGGTAAGTCAACAATTCCCACTCCCGCACAGTTTTCTACTCTAGCTGACTGTTCTTGACAGATTGACAAATAAGAAAGCCGTCAGAACCGATAGATTGTGTGCTGTGTCTGGGAATGCGTTGAGTAGGACACATGTGTTTGTAAGCTGCTCTTATACTCTGTAAGTTATCAGACTATGTGTCGGGACATAGATTGATATTCTAGCTATAAGTTTTTGGGATTGCATTCTGCAATAGGCTGTGTAGAAATGGAGTGGTAACAAGTGTTGGTGCTCGAGTTGGGAAGCCAGCTTCGTCTCCTCTAGTAAGCTATACATGAGGAGGCGATGCAAACAGATGTATGGAGTAGCTGCTGCTTCTTCTCCACTGCCACTGTGTTCAAGAATCAAAGGGGAAGTTCAAAGTCTGGCCATGAGTGACCTGGATCCGGAAACTGCCATTATTTTCGGTTCAAAGTCTGGCCACTGTGTTCAAGAATCACCAGCTTGGGATGGTGATATCGCATCAATACAGAATATAGTTTGTTGGTTCCGCATTTTTGTTTCTTTGTTGTGTGTTCCTGGCAAGATACCTTGCCATTATTTTTTCATGAAATGTCATGCCTTATCCTACAAAAGAATTGCGTGAAAATTATTAATAAAAAAAGGCACAACAAAACTCGAGACAATTTTTACATTACGTGGGAGAAATATATGATTTTTTCAAATCCTCTCCCTAAAATTTAGCATGGTAGATAAATCCTTTCCCAGAGCCCTAATTTAGTCGTGAATAATTTCCCAAATCCTGATGCGAGGAGTAGAGAACAATGTCCATTGAAGAAGAAGAAGAAACACAGAAGGATGAGGTGTGCCGGAGCCGGCTGCTGCTGCTACTGCCACTGCATTTAGCTACATGAGGTCTCTACAGCATTCCTTTTTCCTTATTCTGGTGGTAAACTAACTGCATTCTGATTTCTTGCAGGATCAGTCAAGTTTCATATTTCCTAATTTGGAGGTAAAGTGGAAGAGCCGTTAGGTTTGAATGGTAAGTTTGAGGGGGCCGTTGGATAACAATCCTTCGTGCCTCCTTGGTGGAGTCCATTGACTGTTGTTTGTTCGGGAGCAAACACTAATGAATGAACAACCCCGTCCAGTCCAACAATGAACGTTTGATTTCCACTTCAGTATGTGTTCAGAGGTAACTAATAGTCAATTAACTGGCCACCAAATCGTCCACTCTTGGTAAGGCCTAAATTCCCTTATAAAAACATCCAGCACTCTGCTTTTATTCTGGCTCCACTATGTGTTTCAGTGTTTGTTCAGAGAATAACAGTACCGAAGCTGTCTCATTGCTTCGCCTGCAATGACTTACTGATCCTTCTTCATATAGAGAATAGTATGTGGTCCCTTCCTTGGTTCCCACTGTCTTGTTTCAGATGAATTCACTGTCCATGGCATGCTAGCTGTGGTTTCAACATCTATGTGCAGAACAAGTATTTGCTGTTTCTCTAAATGTAAGTGCTATCCGCCGCCGCTGCTGCATTTTTTGCTGTTCGGATTATCTGTGCGCTGTTGCTGGGATTGGGGCTTGTTGGGTGCTGGTTGGTCCAAAGCCAATTTGTTTACACTGGCCTTGGTTGTACTTGGGACCGAGCGTTTCTGTTAGTTGTATACGTTGGGACAAGGTTGGGGTGCTTCCTTCTGTTTCATCCCTTGTGAAGCATAGCCTCCTGCTTGCTTTATTTGTTTCTTTACTTCTAATATTCTCATATCATTGATATAAGAATAAAATAACATGAAAAGTGTTGTTCACATATCCAAACATGTCCCAAAAGTTGAAATGTTTATGAACTGTGAGTGAATATTTAAGCACAGTTGTGTCTCTTCAAAAGGGAATATCAACAAAAGACACACAAAAAAAAAAAAAAAAAAAAAGAGGTTGAAAATAATAAAGAAGATGAAAAGATCGAACAACTTGTTCATATACAAGTAAGAGAAGACGTGCTTGAGTCAGTAAGGTTGGTCCTTTACTGCACAGAAAGAAGGATCAAGATACTTTGGTATTACAATATTTGAATTGAGCTGCTTACCCTGCAATGGTGCTGCTTTTGCAACGGCCAGTCTTCTATGCATCTGTAATTTGATTGTCGCTTTATTTAATTGGAATTTCTCAACTGGAAGAATGTCTGCAGGATTGTGGAATTAACATGCAAGTAGCTGTTGCTGGTGGTTTAGAGGCTTCTGTCATGACTGAGGATATTGTGAAACCATTGTTGGATCCTGAGAACTTCAATCGGGCATTGATTGACTTAGTGAGTTGTGCATCACTGGAATGTGGAATTTCCTGCCTATTTTACTGTGCTGACAAGGAATTTTGTTGACTTGACACAATAGGAAACCTTACCGTTAGAAGATGTTTTTGAACAACTACGAACTTCACTTGATGGACTTACATCTGAAGATGCTAAAGCTCGTTTGACAGTGTTTGGGCCAAACAAACTGGAAGAAAAGCCGGTAAGCACCTTTCTCTGTAAGCTTTAAAGATTCATATTCCACCATCAAAAAAATTATGACGGAATCTTATTTGGCCACTCGTGCAATGTGTCTGGTTCTCAGTAACAGGTCGGCATATTGAAGCGATAGTTCTTTTCTATCCATTCTGTCTGTATCTACTTGCATTTGCTATTTGTACTTATCCTTGATGATATAGTGTGTGTCAATAGTACAGTGCTCTGTTAAGTCAGTAGATCCCTGCTTCATGCAGTGCTTGCCCCTAGTTTCAGGTGTTTTACCTCTGAACTTGAACCTTATATGCACTTGGATTGCATAATGCCGGAGCTTGCCCAACTTTCAAATGACTTTATCATAGCTAATTTCCTTATAGCAAGGTGGTGCACAAAATATCATCTTGATCCCCATAATCGTTTGATATATTGGTCTTTTCCGCTTCAGGTGGTATATTACTAATTAGTAGTATCTGAAACTCTGTTTTCGGATTTCAGTTTCTCATTAATGCATTCAAGTTTTGTCAGTGCCTACCTGAGGCATGCCCTTGCCATCAGCTTCCTTACAGTGAGAAGCGGGCTTGCAGTATATTCCCATTAAAATTTAGCACACTAAATAATTAAGCTGGTCACTTACATTCCGTCTTTGCAATTCAGGAGAACAAGTTATTGAAGTTCCTTGGGTTTATGTGGAATCCTTTGTCATGGGTTATGGAAGCTGCATCAATAATGGCAATAGCCCTTGCCAATGGCGGAGTAAATAACCAGCCATCTGTTTGCATTTCCCCGCTTTCTATGAGTTGATAACATTGAGGTATTGTTAGCTGATGAAAGTTATGTGTTCAGGGTGAAGGCCCTGACTGGCAGGACTTTCTGGGGATTGTTTGCCTGCTGTTGATCAACTCAACTATAAGTTTCATTGAGGAAAACAATGCTGGAAATGCTGCAGCTGCATTGATGGCTGGTCTGGCACTAAAAGCAAAGGTAGTACAATCTACAACTCTTACCACATAGCTAAAAGAATATGACTAAATTGGAAAGGAAAGCAATTACGACAGAATCAGCAATGGCTCAGAATTTCCTCAAGTTTTTCTGTTTGGTAATTTGAACTTTGTGATCCTGATACTAAAAAATACATGCATACAGAATTTGGTTTCTGAGTTATAGAGATTTGCAATTGGTATGTGAAGGGATTCAGGAGTTCTACTTACCAAGATGGCGGCATTACATTTTTACCATACGCTACTGCTGCGTGCTTAAAAAATTAAGTACTAGTGGCATAATAAAGTCATAATGAACTCGAGCAAACTTAGAATGAATCATTCTTTTCTTTTCTTTATGGATAGAAAATTAAGAACTAGCTGACATAGAAAGCACATAACAACCATAGTTCCATGAGTAGGCAGGTTGTGCAGGTATGCGCTCACTATTGATTACTACTTTACTAATAGAAGCCATAGAAGATCAATAAACAGAAAATTCATGCTCAGGAGGTCTCCTAGATAGGAATGTCAGTGTTACGAGAACATACACACTTTATAAAGTTTCTTGCAAGTGTACGTCTTACTGGGGGTTTCTTGCCCAGGAATGCAGCTTATTCTTTCTATTTTCCAATTGCAGGTTCTCAGAGACAGAGAATGGCAGGACATGGATGCAGCTATTCTGGTGCCAGGAGATATAATAAGTGTTAAGCTTGGGGACATAATCCCTGCAGATGCTCGGTTGCTTGAAGGAGATCCACTAAAAGTTGACCAGGCACGTGTTGGCAATCTTGGATCTCATCACAATCACAACTTCTTTTTTCTTGGTGAAATGCGTTCCTTTTTTCCCTTTGTACGAATCAATCATCTTTTTTTTTTTTTTTTTTTTTGTTGTACGAATCAATCATCTAGAGCAACTGTTCAGCTATAATGTCATGTGCCGGTTTCTCTGTGCAGTCTGCCCTTACAGGAGAATCTCTTCCTGTCACTAAGAAAACAGGTGATGAGGTTTTTTCTGGTTCTATATGCAAGCACGGAGAAGTTGAAGCTGTGGTGATAGCTACTGGGGTTCACTCCTTTTTAGGAAAAGCAGCTCATCTAGTGGACTCCACTTACGTTGTTGGGCATTTCCAAAAGGTAATTGTCTCGATTAAGCACCGCGCCAAATTGAAACCCAAGCTGTAAATTATGATCTATGCTACTGGTATGTGTGATATTCTGAATCCACTTGATAATAAAGCTTGGTTGTATAAAATTTGAATTCAATTCTGAATTTTTTCAGATACTCCTTTTTACCCTCCTGTTAATTTTAATTGAACGGTTGAGTATTGTGAAGATTTGCTACAACTGCAAACTGACCATTCAAATGTTTGAATGAGGCCACACTTGATACTTCATTCTTAATTTCTTGTATCAGGTCCTTACCTCCATTGGGAATTTCTGCATTTGCTGTATAGCTGTGGGAATAGTTCTTGAAATCATTGTCATGTTCCCCATACAGCATCGATTATATAGGAAAGGAATCAACAATCTTCTCGTGCTCTTGATTGGAGGAATACCCATAGCCATGCCGACAGTATTATCTGTCACACTTGCAATCGGTTCTCATGGTCTTTCCAAGCAGGTGCAAACGTAAAGGCTGCCGTAAAGGAATATAGCAGAGTTTATTAGTCAATTTGGGAAGAGAGAGATACTTTCTGTGGTCTCTGAGATAATGACATGGAAGTCAAATGCTTATTATGACATGCTTCACCAAATTCTTTTTCTTTTTTGTGTTTGTTCAGGTTCACGGATATCTTATTTTTGTTTTTATTGTACTAGGGTGCTATTACAAAGCGGATGACGGCGATTGAGGAGATGGCAGCCATGGATGTCCTGTGTAGCGATAAAACTGGAACTCTGACATTGAACCACCTTACAGTTGAGAGCAACCTTGTTGAGGTATGCAAATCACCATTTCCAATGTTCTGCTGACACTGCATACTACTGCAGCTAAACAGGAGTTCAAGACTTTGTAAATTCATATAAGCAGCATGATGGAAACTTAATCTTTACAGGTATTCAACAAAAATATGGACAAGCAGATGATTATTTTGTTGGCAGCGCGAGCATCAAGAGTAGAGAATCAGGATGCCATCGACGCTGCCATAGTTAACACGCTAGGAGATCCCAAGGAGGTAAAAAAATGTGCTATACTATTTTGTTGGCTGGCCAGGACACTAAAGTACTCCAAAATGATGTTTGTTCTACTCGTTTCATCATTGTAGCTTTATTCACTTTTTTGTCCAGGCACGTGCCAACATCAGGGAAATTCACTTCATGCCCTTCAATCCAGTGGATAAACGTACTGCCATCACGTATATTGACTCCGATGGAAAATGGTATCGAGCAAGCAAAGGGGCTCCTGAGCAGGTGCTTTTTGAAGTTTGATATTTTCCTCTCTATCTCTGTCGTGCATGTTGATATAATAATTATGACCTTTGGCATCAAAATCATTCAAGCATTCTAATATTGAGCAAAAGCTGCGTACTTAGTCTTCCATTTTTGTACGACATCAGATTTTAAATCTATGCCAAGGAAAGAATGAGATTGCCAGAAGAGTGCATTCCATCATTGACAATTTTGCTGAGAGGGGCTTCCGGTCTCTTGGAGTCGCTTATCAGGTACCTCAAATTTTGATTATCATATCTTTCTATGGCCACATTGACACATGTTTGATGGAATCATAACATAAAAAACTGTTACCTTCCCAGCACTCGTCTTGAAATATTCTGCTGAAGGAAAAATAAAATTCACTTGTGTTGTCCTTCACCTGTAACTCATCAAGCTTGAATTACATGGAATATCTTTTTTTTTTTTTATTGTTATGAAAGAATTTCTCAATATAACAACACACCTTCAGGAAGTTCCAGGAAGAACGAAAGAGAGCACTGGCGGTCCTTGGATTTTTTGTGGTTTGTTACCTTTGTTTGATCCTCCAAGACATGACAGTGCTGACACTGTACGAAGAGCACTTAACCTTGGAGTTTGTGTGAAGATGATTACAGGTAACTCTGGTTAAACTTATAGTGGTAGCTGTATGTGTATTGGAATTGTGCTAGACATCTATAATTGCTCTTCTTTCCTGTTCTATTAATTGTGCTTATGAAAATTCCACCTGCGTTCATCAAAATGTAACGGAAGAAGTCAATGGTTCTTGTTCTTTGGCATCATTCTTTCCGTACAAGCACAAGCTTACATACACTGCCATGGCACAGTTGTCATGTCAGCTGAAACAGTGAGACCCATCATTTGATTCCCCCCCCCCCCCCCCCCCCCCACACACACACACAAACATATATATCGTCTCTTGCCTCTTACCACAACCTTGTGATTGACTCCGATGGAGTCTTAATAAAATATACTAATTATTGAATAGCTCATAGGTGATCAGTTAGCAATTGCCAAGGAGACAGGAAGACGACTCGGAATGGGAACTAACATGTTCCCAGCTTCATCATTGTTGAGCCATGACAAGGATGGAACTGAGATTCTTCTCGTGGATGAGCTAATTGAGAAGGCAGATGGCTTTGCTGGTGTGTTCCCTGGTAAGTAAATAGGATATGGTACCAGTGAACTGTAACTATCATTAACATTTGAATATACAGGTTATGTGGATGGTAGGTTGTTGAAATGGATAGATACAACATACAAGAATCTATACTCTGGATGAATGCTTTTAAGAGATGAACATCTGTAGCAGGCCTATGTATTAATTCTGGATGTAACCAAATTCACTTTGAAATAGTTATTTGCTTGTTTAGTTGTTAGAGGGTTTAGTGTCTTAGGGCGGCTTTGGTTCTTGGGAATGACAAAACCGAGGAGAAAGCGCTTGAGTTTTGTGACTTCTGTCCCGTATTTGAGGGTACCCTTTGATTTTTCAATATATCAATGATATGATAGACGATTCTTGTGGTGGTTCTACACACACTACCCTCTTCCCATGGATTGTACAATCTATCAACTAGTGCTCGTAGAATCACCCATCAGAACAGTCCATCACCAAAACAGTTCAGCAAATCAAGGAGTATTGGGAAACCTACCAGGAGATGGATTTCGGATAACAGTCCACCTGACAAGGGACCTTTTGTTTTCCCTCCCCTATTTGCTGGTTTTAAGTTTGAGGTTAGAGTAATGTGGAGATGATAGAGATGTTTTTATGTTCAACGGCACGGGAAGCTTGATTTTGAATTTTTCTTTGCATTTTATGTTTGTCTGAGTAGAATTCTTCTGTGTGTCATCTGAGTAGAATTCAATTTGTTTTCAGATCTTCAAAGAACAGACTGATTACTTGCTTTGCTGGATATACTTGAAATCCACACCAAGCAGCTGTAGTTTCTATCCTCTTGATTCTGATTGGGATTAGTTCTTGGACTAGCGACATTCTGCTGTATTATAAACAGTAAAATGTCTAAAATTCACTTTGGCAGTAACACCAAGTAGTTGCTTTGCCAACAATCTTGGGCCATAGTATCGTTGTAGGGTGTACTATTGGTTGGGCCGTGGTATCGTTGTAGGGTGTGCAATCTGGACCCAGCCAGGCGTGTGGTGCTTGGTGAAAGCCAAAGGTTTGTGCATAGATGAATGCTTTTGTGCTTCTCTTAGATTGGCTTCTTTGACATGATTCCTTTTGCTGCAATATGACTTTCAGAACACAAGTTTGAGATTGTAAAGATTCTGCAAGAGAAGAAGCATGTGGTTGGCATGACTGGGGATGGGGTGAATGATGCACCTGCTTTAAAGAAGGCAGACATTGGAATAGCAGTTGCAGGTTCTACAGATGCAGCCAGAAGTGCTGCTGATATAGTCCTAACTGAGGCTGGGTTAAGTGTGATCATTAGTGCTGTCTTAACTAGCAGGGCTGTATTCCAAAGGATGAAAAATTATACGGTAACTTTCCTTCTTATTTTTCTATACACGTGTATAACACAGTTACATTCGCATTTAGGTGACACTGATGAAGCTGTTAGTGGTAGTTCCAGATTCATGATGCTCCTGGTTTATTCCATGCTAAGTAACTTTTTTAATGACATTAAAGGTGCTTACAGTTTGGTTGAAAATGAAAGGATATGTGGTGTAGCTGAGTATCTGTGTAGTTTACTTTCTCTAATGATTAATTGAACAATGAATTTGCAGATATATGCTGTCTCCATCACTATCAGAATTGTGGTATGCTGGATCTTGTACCTCTATTCTCATTGGATTCACTTGTATGGTCTGGAATCTGGACCAAAAGGTTGTTAAACAATTTGTTGGCGTTTATTTCAGGTTGGCTTTTCACTTTTAGCATTGATATGGGAGTACGACTTCCCGCCTTTCATGGTTTTGATAATAGCAATACTTAATGATGGTAACTGAAGAATTATTCCTCCTTTTAGTTTATTTTACATTTGGTTGTTTTGTTATCTTTTCTGCATTTTATAAATTGCTTGGGCTGTGGAACAGAGGAAGGAGCTATTTCCTAGCTTTAGCGGTACCAAGCTGTAGAATGACAAGTGCAATATATTAAGGATTCTATGTCAAATTATTTGTTGTAGCATGAAGGTCCATAAAGGTTTGAAGTTATTTTTGGTGCAGAATGCCAATGAAGTCCCTAATCAGTCAAATATTATTTCTTTTATTTCAGGAACTATAATGACCATATCCAAAGATCGGGTTAAGCCATCTCCAGGGCCTGATAGTTGGAAGCTCAATGAAATATTTGCAACAGGCATTGTCATTGGGACATACCTTGCTCTGGCGACTGTACTGTTCTACTGGATTGTGGTACACACTTCTTTTTTCGAGGTATCATTCGGAGACATACAATTGTACTGTACAAACCTGTAACCGTTAGAGTTTCTAAAGAAATTACACCTTGTTGCTCTCTAGGCAGCTGATTATACTCTTGACTTGTGATTGCAGACACACTTCCATGTAAGTTCTATATCCAGTAATACGGAAAAAGTTTCTTCGGCACTGTATTTGCAAGTCAGCATCATTAGCCAGGCTCTCATATTTGTTACCCGGAGTCGATATTGGTCATTCCTTGAGAGGCCTGGAATTCTCCTGGTGTGCGCATTTCTAGTGGCTCAACTGGTATGGTACTTTAACTGCACATATGGCTTTGTCTTTGTTGGCCTTCCTTGAGAGTTGCAAATTTTTTCCGAGACATATCTTACATTAGATCTGCGATACATTCGCCTTTGGCTCCAAACTTTAGTCCTTTCAGTTATGATCATCGCCAATTCCTTGCTCGAGTTCACCGCAAGTCCACCCAGAATGTAAATGCTGCTGGATCTTGTTTGTTTCTTTTCAGGTAGCCACATTAATTGCTGTCTACGTGCATCTCAGCTTTGCCAACATTAGTGGTATCGGATGGAAATGGGCTGGAGTGGTTTGGCTTTATTGCTTGATCTTCTATGTTCCCCTGGATATCATAAAGCTCACTGTGCGTTATATCCTGAGTGGAGATGCATGGAATCTTGTATTCGATAAAAAGGCGAGTGCAATAGTTTTTAGTGATTGATTTTACTGGAAGATTTTGTCAATCCTTTGTTAACAGCTTCGTTGCTTCAAACCACGAACAGGCTGCTTTAACTTCAAAGAAAGAGTACTACAGGAAGGATGAGAGAGCAGGAAAGTGGCATCTTTCCCACACGACTCTAGAGGGGTTGAGCTCTGCAGATCCAGAACTAGTTGTTAGGCGATCTTCTTCGATGGCTGAGCAGGCATGGAGGCGTGCCGAAATGGCCAGGTACCTCATGAATTACGATTATCATTTCTTGCATACTATAGATTAGTACCTTTTTTTTTTTTAATGATAATGTGCCCGAGACCGCAACAATATCAATTCTGACAAAACCAAATGCAAAAATAAAATACATTACCACCACTAAGGTGCAACCCCGTTTTTGACTGTCAGACTGGGGGAGCTTCATAACTGGAAAGGGCACGTAGAGTCAGTAGCGACGCTTAAAAAGTTGGACCTGAAGGGCATGCAAGGATCTCACAGTATTTGAAGTTGCATGCGTTGCCAGTCATGAGACTTTGTTGGAAAGGTGCGAGTTGGTAGATTTTTGTGTCGTTTATTTTTTTTCACTCAGAGAACCCAGGTTTCAATAAAAGTGATGCCAAGTTTGCAGAATCTCGAGTCTGGGGCTTGCTTTTTTGTGTAACGCATGCAATGGGAGTAATAATACAATGAAGGGTAACTGAAATATTATTACAGCCAAGTGATCCAAGTAGTATAGTACGTATAGCATAATGTATCGAATCCTGATTCTCTCTTTATTCCATCGCAATGTATGAAGATGTAGTCTCTTATTAAAAAGGGGATCATAAGAAGTAAGAAGAGAGGAACACTCTTCGGACTTCCTTGAACCGACTGAAGCAGCGTAACACAACGAATTGAGATGCAGTGCTGCAGCTCGATTGGTTTGCGTAATGTAGCAGCAAGTGAAGGACAGTGCATTAATATAAGCATGCATGCTGTGTAGTTGTTCCTAGCCTGACGGAGTTGACGTAGTTGATGGGAGAATGCGCAGAAATGCCAGGAAGTGCCACTCCGACGACCCTTAGGCACATAGACAGCCAGCCTTCCCTGTATTCTGGACCATTGGTGTATCCAATTGTCAAACTCCTCAGCAGCTCCCAAACAGCATTCAGGTGTACTGCCACTGCATTCCTTAAACTGAAGAAATTCTTGTTCGGCTCCTCCTGCATTTCCTGTACATAATAATATGATGATATACCCATATCGCTTACATCATCTTGTATTCATAAAATGTCTCTTGATCAATCTATGCCAGAGCTATTAGGGACGTCCATGAACAACAACTTACGTACTTGCTCAATGTAGAAGCTGTCATAGTAGAGGCAGTATCCAAAATGCTTGTACAGGAAGGTTTTGTCGTCGTAAGGCAGCCTGGGGACCAAGTCGTTGCAGTAGACAACCCTGAAGTACTTGTGCGAAGGATGTTCGAGATGAGCTGCCATGAACTTCCCTAGCTGCGCGTTCCCAATCCTCGGCTGTCCAAACGTGTATACTCCCAGCAACCTTTTCATCAGCTCATCCTGCACTCCAACACAACATTATCAGCTAGCTACGACGAGACTTTGATCATAATACATATCTATCAACAGAAATCGGGTCTGATTTAATCCATCCCAGTACCTCCTGGTGCAACAGCAGCACGGTTGGGAACAGTATGGCAAGTGCCGCGCCTAAGCTGTGACCAGTCACCACAAATTTTGCATCTTTGTTCTCTGCCAGCAAGCGCTTGAGCTTTTTCTTCACAAGGTAATATGCACTCTTCTGCCAATCGCCATTACCTTGATCACGATTAGTAGTAAATCGTCCTCCAGATTGCAGGTGATGGTCCAAGGTTGAAATGTCATTCCTGTTTCCCAATCCCATGGCTTCTATGAAACCCATGTGTACCTTCCCCAGCTTCGGGATCTCGTACCACGAGTAGTCGAAGTCTGTACACCAGTCGTCAGCATCGAAAGGCTCCGTTCCCCTGAAGCTGATCAGTATCAACTTGGCGTCTCTGGGCTTGTCGCAGAGTATGAACACTTGTGTCGACATTTGCTTCTGGAAATCTACATATTAAACCATACTAAGCACTTATATCAGCCACGTCCACGAAATCAATCGAGTTATTAGTTTAGAGCTTTGCTAATTAACTAACCAACGTAACTCACCATTCCAGCAGTTGAAGAAGTCCACAAAATGCATCTGCATTTTTACCAGAAGATCAGTACATAACATTAATTCGCTTGTTATTATTATTAAACGACTCGAGTTTCGATTCTTACGCATTCGTACCTTCCAGTGGCGACTGACAACGGTTTGAACGACCTTGGCGTTTTCATAAGCCAGCTTGGAGGCCATAACACAGAGGTCCATCAGAGCTCGATTCGGCTCACCAGAGCTGTCTTGACCGCCAAGCAACTGTACTAGTTGATCATGGTCATCAGGGGCAGGGCTGCCCTTATTGTAAAGGTCGATTCTTCCATCCAAATGTCCGATGGTGGATATAAACGTCGCACTACCCCTCTCAGGTATTACCACCTTACCTGCAAATGCAAACATATAATGTAATCTCCATATTCCAGATCCTGCACAAAAAAGCTTAAGAGGATTGAAGATATGGGATTTTACCGAGGAGGAAGTTGAGGAGTAAGCCAGAGAGGCCGCCATTGAGGGAGAGTAAATTGAGGAAGAAATCAAGGGCGTATCCAGTGTACTCCATGGGCTTCCCAACAGTTGAAATGATCTTGCGAGCGATTACAGACACCAATATCACCCATGATGATGCTGTTCTGTAAACTTCGTCGCGATCAGCAGCATCATCCAGCACCTCCACCTGATGATCAATATGATCATTCGTCTCCAAGAACTTGCAGGCCTCCCCGCCCCACAGCGCGGAGCCGAGCAAGTCCCATATCCCTCCCTTCTCTGGCCTCACTATCAAATACCGTCTCCTCCTGCTCTGTAGTAACAGAGCATCATCATCTTCCACGCTCATGCTACTACTATTTCCAGCCATTATCAGCTGCTATAAACAGTAACTAACAATCAAATTTGTGCTGATATATATATACACAGATCGATATGGGTGTGGGGTTTCCTTGCAAGGGATATCTAATCTAATATAATCATGATTGTGCCCAACGAACAGTTCCTTTAATTTGTTATATCCGCAGAGATAGATGGCTTGCTTATTCCACGCTGCAGTCATCGTTTGCGTCATGAATCAACCGCTAGCTATATGTGGATTGGGATTAGCGGTTTCGTTCTGTTCTTCATCGCTAGCCAGCATTTGTTGCCTAGCTACCGTTTTCGGGCTCCTTCAATCCTTATCTTCTGGGAACCTACATGAAGCAAAAAGGCTCCGCCTTTTGAGTTAGAATTTGGAGAATTAAGGAATTTGATAATATTGGTCACATGTATCGCTTGAAAGCCAAGGAAGAGGGAGGCAACCCTTCACAAAGAGTGTTTGGAGAGAGTCCCATAGCCAGCAGCAGTATATTATTTTTTTTATATAATGAAAAAAAAAATAGGGTAGCAATATATTTTAGTAGGACTTGAATTGAATGTGTGTCCCGATAGTAAAATTGTTGTGCTAGGAAAGAGTTTGTCAATTGTTCAAAAATATACCTTCTGCACCTTGAAAATCTATAAGTTTTAATATGTGTCTATTATTCAAGCGGTTGAGTCTGGCGATTTTGATCGCGTCTGGATACATCTGGCAATTTGGATCGTATTTGGGTACATCGGGCGATATAGATCGCATTTGAGTATATTTGGAAATATTCATTGCATCCGGTACATCTGATATTTAAGAGAAAATTCAAGTCAATGTGGAAGTTTGTTAGTATATGTCTTGAATTTTTTATTCTGGATTTGTTCTTTATTTTTTTAATTTATTTTAGACCTAGTTTGTTTGGTTTTATGTTTGAACTTTGTTTTTATTTTTTTTTAATTTGAAAAAAATGTTTGATTTTCTATTTATGATTAAGAGAAGAATTCTATAAATACTCTCTATCACGGTGGCTACCAACATCTATACCATTCATTATCTTTATTTTATTATAATTTTAAATTAATGATTAAGATTAGCTAAGGGTAATTTAGGAAATGAAAAACATACCACACCTGATTACTGTATATATTTTACTCAAACCCTAATACCTAGCCGTCGTCTCCTCCCTCCTCTCCCTATCTCTCCCGCTATCGATCAACCTCCGCCTCTCCGACGCCATCAAATCCGCCATCGCCTCCACCCCTTCCCCTCTCCGATCAACTTGGTATTGACTCTGCGACGCCATCAAATCCGCCACCGCATCCTTCATTCGAGAATCGAGAAACCCTACTCCGCAGACTTCCACCCAAAGGCCAAAACCCAGCTTCCACCCTAATCCGCCACGCCATCAAATCTGCTTCCTTTCTCTTCTCCCTAATCCGCAAACTTCCACCCAAAGGCCAAAACCCAGCTTCCACCCTAATCCGCCACGCCATCAAATCTGCTTCCTTTCTCTTCTCCGCAGACTTCCACCCAAAGGCCAAAACCCAGCTTCAAGCTTGAAACTCCATCTTCTCCGCAGACGGCATTCATAGCTCCGGCTGCCGCCGGTTCTGGAATGGTAGTGTTATGTTTGGAATGGTAGTTTTTTTGCTGTTTTGAATTGTAGTGTTATGTTGGAATGGTATTCTTTTTTGCTGTTTTCTTTCATGCATTGGTAGTTTTCTGCATACATGTGAAACCGTGCTTTTTGATGTGATTGGTATTGTTCTGTTCGAATGGTAGTTTTTTAGTTTTTTTGAATGGTAGTTTCCTTTCATGCATTGGTAGTTTTCTCCATACATGTGAATCTGGTAGTTTGATGTGGATTGGTAGTCTTCATTTGGATTGGTAGTTTTATTACTGTTTTGAATTGTTGTGTCATGTTGGATTGGTAGTCTTCATTTGGATTGGTAGTTTTTTACTGTTTTCATTCATGCATTGGTAGTTTTCTGCATACATGTGCAACCGTGCTTTTTGATGTGGATTGGTACTGTTCTGTTCGAATGGTAGTTTTTTAGTTTTTTTGAATGGTGGTTTCCTTTCATGCATTGGTAGTTTTCTCCATACATGTGAATCTGGTGTTTGATGTGGATTGGTAGTCTTCATTTGGATTGGTAGTTTTTTCCCATCCAACGGTTGTGATGCTTGATTAATGTTAAACGACTTACCTCCCATTTTACCAATTTTAGGAATGGCAAGAACCAAGAAACCAAGTCGTAGGGGCTCAAAACACAAGGAACCTGTTACCTACAGCAGTCGTCAGGTTCAAATTGGAAGTGGGCAAACCTCTGCCCTTGATGAAGCTGTGCCGCAGAAGGATATGGGTAAATCTAAACCACCTGGGAAGAAGTGCAGCCCCGCATCGATTATATCAATTGTCGAGAATGGTATAACAAATGCAAGGATAGAACTAATAAAGAAGCTCGGATTGGATTTTGTTTACATCCAAACCGAGTCTCGCCCCTCTTCCTCTTCTTATTAGGTTCTGTGTCTACCACAACACCGACATTCTTTGGATCCAGCGTGCTCCCTGTTTTGAACCCTTCTTTGTTGCACCGTGCTCCAAAGTAAAACACCTTCCGTTCCTTAAGATATTTGGGTTTTCGAGTCTGTTCTCCAATACGTCTTACTCCAAAACCCCTCCAGTGTGCGAAGTCTTTGTAGAACTTGACAAATGCTTCCCTATTTTCAAATCTCAAATGCTGCCATGTCGATTTGTCGGCCGGGACAACTTTATACACCTGATCTGCAATTTGTAAAACAACAATTAATCACTACCATTCCAATAACTCATACTACAACTAACAAAGCACTACCATTTGTTACAAATATGTCAAAAAATAACTACCATTGTAGTAGCTAATACAAAAGTCAGAACCAATACCAATCCAATCAAACGAATACCAATGCGATACGAACTACCAATAACAATCCAACCTATACCAATGTAAGGACTACCATTATTCCTAAACAAGTACGTAACAATACCAATCCGAAACATGTATCCAGAAAACTACCACTGCATGAAAGGACTACCACTGCATCAAAGGACTACCACTGCATGGAATGGGGCGGAGGAGGACTTTGGTGATGTGGAGGCGGCGGCGGAGGGGATTGCGGCGAGTGGTAGCTGGGTGTTGGCGGCGGCGACATTGTTGGTGCTGGCGGCGGGAGCTCACATCCGGGCTTCGATGGTGGAGGAGGCGGTGGCGGTGGCGGTGGAGTTGTGCATGGAACTCGGCGGTCGCCATTGATGCAACGTCGGCGATGATGCAACGCCGGCAAAAAAAGGTGGACTTCGAAGTGTACACGGCGGCAGAAATAGGGCCGGCCAAAAAACGTGGCATTCGAAAAGCCCTACGCTGATTAAACTATCTAATAATTAATTACCGTAATTATCTCTTCCTAATTAATTGCGTAATTAAAATGGTAGTTTGAATTAGGATGGAAGCAAAATACCCTTCTTATCCCTAGTAACCACCGTGGTTACTAACACGAAGTATCCACCATAACCTGTCCCTCACTTTTAGGTTACAAAGATGCCAAGGAGATTTGATGCTAGATGGGAAAACAAGTTCCTATCTAATACCCCGACAGCTTCTTTTCGTAATATGCTGTTGGGTTAGCATTTTGTACTCTACTGGTTACAAATAGTTCCTCGAATAACTTGCAAGGAAAACGCTGAAAAGAAGCTCAACAGCAAATCCGACAAACAAAAGCCATTCATTTTGGTCAATAAAGACAGGTTGTATCAGATTGAATGTATGGCTAAATTACACGGAAATCTAGCGACAAAAATGGAATTTGCACTTTACTTGTAAAATAAAATCAGCAACAAGTATCTACCTTTTTGTTGGAAGTTAAAAATAATATGGAATATTCATTAAAAAATAAAGAAGAAGAAGATTGGCGACTATTCCATTTCTAATTTCAATCAGCAGCTTTGGATTCTTTAAGCTAATCGTGCCTGCCAGCTTCCACTACTCGGTTTCGTTTGATGCTGAGAGGGTGGCATCGTGGAATGAAGAACAGCTCGCCACTCTAGAAAGCGAAATTCGATTAAAAAAATCATTGGAGTCCTTTCATCTATCATATTCATATCCCTTCTTTAAGGAAAATATAAAGTCCTATCATTCAGATGGGTGCGGCGAGGTGAGGTGAGGTGGGGGTTCTGTTCTGTTCTGTTCCTGTTCTAATTTACATACGGAGGGCACACATTAATACATTATATTTTATGTATTATTCTTAAATTCATTTGTCTAAAAAAGGGGGAAATATAAAGTGAAGGCTAGAAGTTGGGCAGGGAAGCCCTGTTCTTTTTTTAGCTTGTGGGTAGGAGGAGAAAGGAAGAAGCTTGGAGTCGGGGGGAAATGATGATGGAGAAGCGGAGGAGGAGAAGGGTTGAGCTGATTGTAATGTTTACA